GAGCTAAAGACACTTGAAAAATAGCAGGTGCAGGAAGGGTGATCTGACCTCCTCTTTTCTTTTTGACAAAAAGAGATAGGCCGGGCACGGTGGCTCACGCCTGTAATCCCAGCACTTTGGGAGGCAGAGGTGGGCGGATCACCTGAGGTCAGGAGTTCGAGACCAGCGTGGCCAACATAGTGAAACCCCATCTCTACTAAAAATACAAAAATTAGCCGGGCATGGTGGTGCACCCCTGTAATCCCAGCTACTCAGAAGGCTGAGACAGGAGAATTGCTTAAACTCAGGAGCCGGGGGTAGGAGTGAGCCAAGATCATGCCACTGCACTCCAGCTTGTGTGACAGAGCAAGACTCTGTCTCCAAAAAAAAAGAAAAAGCAAGAAAGAGATAAAACTGCCATGTGGAAGATGCCCTCCCTATAGCAGGAGGAAAGAACCATTCTTATCACCAGAGATGGAGAGTCAAGGTCGAGATAATTCCATACAAACAGGCCTTGTTTAAATAACTCTTATCCTCCTCTGGTTTCCTGTACATTTTAGTTATTTTTCCATAGTTGCCTCTTTTTGTTCAACTCAGTATATAACCAGTTAGGTTTTGCCACTTTGGGTCCCCATTTTTCTATGGGGGCTTCCATGTGTATGTAAGAATCTGTACACTTTACTTTGGCTAATCTGTTTTATGTCAATTTAATTCTGAGGCCCAGCCACAAACCCTAAAAAGTATAGGTAAAATTTTGCCTCCTCCACAGTTGTATAAGTAAATGAATGATCCTCTCCCTGAAAAGTCGAAAATAAAGAGATCAACAGTAGTTAAGAAAAAGTATAAAATAATAAAAAGTAGTCTGGAATGTCTATTAGGAATTCCAGACACACAGAAAAAAAATTAAAAGGCAAACGGAATTCCTAAAAAGAAAATGCCCCAGAACCAAATAAGAGTTTCCATAAACTAAGAGCCTACTGAATGATCAGCCTAATCAATTTTTTTTTAAGCCACACTAGGTGCATCATTGTAAAATTTCAGAACACTAGAGATAAAGGAGGTCCTAAGACCTTCTGGAGAGAAGAAAACAGGTAATAATCAAAGATTAGGACTTTTCAGCTGAAATATTGGAATTGCTAGAATACAGGGGACTGATGCTTTCAAAATTCTGAGGGAGAGTAATGATCAAACCTGGGGTTCTATACCCAGGCCAACTAGTAATTGAGTATGAGAATACGATAAAGACATGTTCTGGTCGGGCACAGTGGCTCATGCCTGTAATCCCAGCACTTTGGGAGGCAGAGGCAGGCAGATCACTTGAGGCCAGGAGTTTGAGACCAGCCTGGCCAATATGGTGAAACCCCATCTCTACTAAAAATGCAAAATTAGCTAGGTGTGATGGCGCAGGCCTTGTAGTCCCAGCTACTCGGGAGGCTCAGGCATGAGAATCACTTGAACTTGGGAAGCGGAGGTTGCAGTGAGCCAAGATCGCACCACTGCACTCCAGCCTCGGTGACAGAGCGAAACTGTCTCAAAAAAAAGACATGTTCAGACATGAAAAAGAGACAAAAAATTATATACCCTTTCTCAGAATTATGGGGACACGGATCGAGAAAACAGAGATCCATTATAAGATGGCAAAGGAAACAGCAAAGAAAAATGTATGCGAAGCAGAACTAGAGTGATCAGTCCAGATTGTAGCAAGAAGACAAAGAGCTCCAAGATTTAAAAAGAGAAAAGAGAAACTGGGAAGGTTTGTGTGGAAAATTATATTGTGAGGTTAGAGGATGTGGAAAGAATGAGAGAGAAACATCAAAGAAACAAAGCAAATGAAAAAAAGAATGCAGTTAACTCCAGAAAGAAAAGTTATATGAGAAACAATTATAGCTTACTTACTTGGCTTATCAACAAACTATGTTTGCATAGTTACAACAGGGTAACTATCAATTATTGATTCATCAAAAATATGCAATAGTTTTACTGGTTAGTCAGTTGGAAAGGATCAAATCCTGATTAATAAATCCCATATATGATTGATAAATTAAAGATATTAGTAAAAGCTTATTTAGAAATATGGACGTAAATACAAAAAAAAAAAAAAAAAAAAAAACCTAATAGTTGAAAGCGAGGAGGGATAAAGCAGGAACTGTTTTTTCGGTTACAAACTTTTGATCACTAACTTTTTAATGCATTTGCTGCTTTGTTAAAAATATAAAAATTAATTTCAAAAAAGTCATGCTGGCTAATACTATAGAAACCAATTGGAGGGGACTCCAAGTAGAGACAGAGACGACAGGAAGTTGAGGCTACATAAGCAAAGAGGATGGAGGATTTAAGTAAGGTAGTGTTAAAGGAAACGGGGAGGTGGGAATGGAGTGGAATATCTGCAGTAGAAATGATGGGACCTGGTGGCTGGAGGAAGAAGGAACAAGAAGAGGGAGAAGTCTAGAATGATAGGTTCCTAATTTGAGGAACTGAGCACTCTCTGAGAAAGAGAACGGAAGGAAGAGCAGGCTTGTGGGTGATGGCAGCAATTTAAGTTATGGACAAAGCTGAGGCAGCTAGACATCCAAGTAGCAATGCTAGATGGACATGGATCTTGAGTTCAGAATGCTGGGCTGAAATAAGAGAATTAGATATAGCAAAGAAACCCAGCCAGGTCCCAAGGAAAGCTAGCCCAAATGTCCCCTTAAGCCCCACCAGTGTGCAGATCCTGGGTACAGACTGCCAGGTGAGAACAGAAGTTCAGCTGTTTATCCTAGGTGTGCTCTATTAACAACTCTCACCTGCCAAGTGCCACAGCCCTTCAGCCCTTGCCCTTGGTTTCTCTGGAAGTCCCTCATGTTAGGAAATGTCTTCCAAAAGGTTCATGCTACTGTTCCCATCTCTCCCATACTTCTGATTAACTTGCTTCTCACCTTCCCTGTCTACTGTCGCACACTGCTTCTCATTCATCAGTTTGATGCCAACCAAGATGGTCCACTGGAATACACAGCCAATTGGCACGAATCCATGCTTGACCTGATATCCCTTGGGAAGTTGAGTCTCTGCTGCCAGCATCTGGAGCTGTTGTGATTTTGGAATCTTTGTCACTAAGGCTGACTGCACCACAGCACTCCTCAGGCCACCCATATGGTGGAACTGACACCAGTGAGAAATCAAGATGAGGATCTGAAGGTCATAGCACTATAGAGGAACCCTGAAATGTCTAATTCCTGTCCCACCACACATCTCTACTCACAGGGTCCTGATAGCTATGAACAGGAAAACACTACCTACATGAAAAACAAATGCCACATTATTCATAACTGAGGCAGTCTCTATAATCCATAGGCAGGGATCTGATAAAAACTGAACCGAGCCTCTTGCAAGGGTGGAAGCCAAACACTGGGTTGAGGAGAGGCTGCTCAGACTTTGGCACTGCACATGGGAAGTAGAATCTTCTTGGGATACTTGTATTACTCCAGAAAGATGGGAAAAGCAGCTTGTGTGCAATAAGAAAAGCAAGGCCGAGAGCCCAGGCAGGCTCAGCAAGTGGCTGCCTGCATTTCAGTCCCAGTGTCAGGTGTTCTGAAGACCTCAACATACTCTGCATTTTTTTTTTTTTTTAAGATGGACTCTCGCTGTCACCAGGCTGGAGTGCAGTGGTGCGATCTCGGCTCACTGCAACCTCCACCTCCCAGGTTCAAGCGATTGTCCTGCCTCAGCCTCCCAAGTAGCTAGGACTATAGGCGCATGGTGCCATGCCCAGCTAATTTTTGTATTTTTAACAGACAGGGTTTCACCATGCTGGCCAAGATGGTCTCGATCTCTTGACCTCGTGATCCGCCCACCTCGGCCTCCCAAAGTGTGGGGATTACAGGCGTGAGCCACCGCTCCTGGCCCATACTCTCTGCTTTAATTCTGAGTGACAATACATTTTGTATAAACACCCCCTTTTGATTTAAGTTCACTTGTTTGTTGCCTGCAACCAAGAGACCACTGAGGAAACTGGTCCAGCATCAATCATGTCGTTCTGACTGCATTCTCAGCATTAGAATAGCACTGGCCACAGCTGGTGGGTAATCCACACCTGCCGAAGGAATGAGGGGTATGTGCACTAGTCCTAAAGAATAGGTCCAGTCTATTTAATTCAGAAGTTACAATCTAATTTATATCATACTTACCCAGTATGCAGTAGTACCCAAAGGGCTACTGTAGATTCAGTAGAATCCCAAACTGAATGTGGGGATTTGCTGAAACCTTAAAATGGCCAGTAAAGCTGTGCCTAATAGCAACATGAAAGAAATACAAATCTTCGGCCGGGCGCGGTGGCTCAAGCCTGTAATCCCAGCACTTTGGGAGGCCGAGACGGGCGGATCACGAGGTCAGGAGATCGAGACCATCCTGGCTAACACGGTGAAACCCCGTCTCTACTAAAAAAATACAAAAAACTAGCCGGGCGAAGTGGCGGGCGCCTGTAGTCCCAGCTACTTGGGAGGCTGAGGCAGAATGGCGTGAACCCGGGAGGCGGAGCTTGCAGTGAGCTGAGATCCCGCCACTGCACTCCAGCCTGGGCGACAGAGCATGACTCCGTCTCAAAAAAAAAAAAAAAAAAGAAATACAAATCTTCCTTAACTAGTTTCAGGAAATCAAGCTTATGGAAGCTTTATGTGAAATTTCACATGTCTTTCACTCATGCAAATACAGAGGAACACCTCTCGAAAATGCAGATAGTAGGCCAGGTGCGGTGGCTCACACCTGTAATCCCAGCACTTTGGGAGGCCGAGGCGGGTGGATCACGAGGTCAGGAGATCGAGACCATCCTGGCTAACATGGTGAAACCCCGTCTCTACTAAAAATACAAAAAACTAGCCGGGCGTGGTGGTGGGCGCCTGTAGTCCCAGCTACTCAGGAGGCTGGGGCAGAAGAATGGCATGAACCCGGGAGGCAGAGCTTGCAGTGAGCCAAGATTGCGATACTACACTCAGCCTGGGTGACTGGAGTCTCCCTCTCAAAAAAAAAAAGAAAATGCAGCTAGATTCCTGCAAGAAAATATTTATTGCAATTATTAGTGATTATGTTTTACAGCAATTTTAAATACATACACTTTTCACAAACACAATGGGAATCGAGGCAACTATCAAATTTAAATGTTGAACCAAGTCCTGGTTTTCAGAATTCAGCAGCCAGTCATGGTTCTGCACCAGGGCCACCAGTCCACGATTTCCAATACTTGAGGATCTTTTCTGTAATTGGAACAAAATCTTCTTTATATATGATAACTGTTTCCACATAAAATCCTTTTGGGTGTTCAGATCCTTCACTGGGTGTTTCAGTTGTTAAGCCATCCTTTCGGTCTACTTTATCACCATTAAGAGAGAAAAAAAAAAAGAACACCTGAATTATTAACTTAGAAAGCAGTCACTAAAGTCTTAGAAATTAAGATAAGAATTATGTTCACTCCCTCCAACCCCAATAAGGAAGAAAGGAATGAAAAGGAAGGGAGGGAAGGGAGGGAAGGGAAGGGAGGAAAGAAGGGAGGAAGGAAGGAAGGAAAAAGAAAAGGGAAGAGAAGGGAAAGGGGGAGGGAAAGGAAGGGCAGGGCAGGGGAGGGGAGGGAAGGGGAAGGGACAAGAGGGGAGGGAAGGAAAGGCCAGGTGCGGTGGCTCACGCCTGTAATCCCAACACTTTGTGGCAGCCGAGGCGGGTGGACCACCTGAGGTCAGGAGTTTGAGACCAGCCTCACCAAGCTGCTGAAACCCCCTTCTCTACTAAAAATACGAAAATTAGCCAGGCGTAGTGGCATTCGCCTGTAATCCCAGCTACTGGGGAGGATGAGGCAGGAGGACTGCTTGAGGTGGGAGGTAGAGGTTGCAGTGAGCCGAGATAGCACCACTGCACTCTAGCCTGGGCGACAGAGCTAGACTCCATCTCAAAAAAAAAAAAAAAAAAAAAACATTCGCCGGGCAGTAGTGGCCTGCGCCTGTAACCCCAGCTACTCGGGAGGATGAGGCAGGAGAATCGCTTGAGCCTGGAGAAGCAGGTTGTGGTGAGCTGAGATCATGCCACTGCACTCCAGCCTGGGCGACAGGGTGAGACCCTGTCAAAAAAAAAAAAAAAAAAAAAAACGAAAGAAAACATAAACATGGATATTAAAATATTTTTACTTTATATATATAAAAATATAAAATATTTTACCATATATTATATATAAAGTAAATATATATAAAATTTTTTGGGGGGTAGAGATGGTGGTCTCCCTATGTTGCCCAGACTGGTCCCCAACCCCTGGGATCAAGCAATCTGCCACCTCGGCCTTCCAAAGTTATGGAATTACAGGTGAGAGCCATTGCACCCGGCCAAAATGTTTTTAAACGCCTAATGCTGGACACATGTACTTTCAGGCCACTGATAGCTTCATCACCAAATGTAATCTTCAGCATAGTTTTTACACAACAACTTTACTGATATATAATTAACATATCATACGATTAACCCCCTTAAAAGATACAATTTTTTTTTTTTTTTTTTGAGACGGAGTCTCGCTCTGTCGCCCAGGCTGGAGTGCAGTGGCCAGATCTCAGCTCACTGCAAGCTCCGCCTCCCGGGTTCACGCCATTCTCCTGCCTCAGCCTCCCGAGTAGCTGGGACTACAGGCGCCGCCACCTCGCCCGGCTAGTTTTTTGTAGTTTTTAGTAGAGACGGGGTTTCACCGTGTTAGCCAGGATGGTCTCGATCTCCTGACCTCGTGATCCGCCCGCCTCGGCCTCCCAAAGTGCTGGGATTACAGGGGTGAGCCACTGCGCCCGGCCAAAAGATACAATTTAATGTTTTTTTTAGTACATTCAGATTTGTGCAACCAGCACCACAATCAATTTTAAAATATTATCATCCACAAAAGGAATCCATACCTTTGGCAGTCATTCCCCATCTCCCCAACCCTTCAGCCCCTAGCAACCACACTGATCAACTTAATGTCTCTATACATTTCCAGCATATTTTTCAAAGCTGAGAAACTTTCCTCCCTTTGCGCCTAGTAACTGGAAGATTTTAATACGCCTTGACTGCTAAAAGTCCTGAAATTGCTAGCCATATATCTTGAGGGACAGTAGTATTGAAGCATCACTCTTTAAAAATCACCGGACAGAGTCTCTGAAAATCCACCTTGCACTTTACACAGATTCTTCCAATTCCGAGTATAGGGACGGCCCTATGCAGTAAATGACTAAGATTTAGGTAACAATATTTACAAGGTATTAATAATTCCTGGCGTCTAGTTCTTTGCAGATTTCATTTAACAAACGGCTGTTAGCACCCGTTTCAATTAGTTTTGCAGAATAAACCTGGGGTTTACAGAACAGGGAGGTTGTTTCGACGACCCCCGGGGAACTCTCCACCGAAAGCCGTGTGTCCCGGGGCAGGCCCCGCCGAAGAGCCCTACCTGATGACTTCGCCATTGTCCGGTTGTAGTAAAACAGTGAGCCAAACACAGACCAGGCGCCGATCCCGTAGACTACCGACATCCGCCGGTACCAGGCCGTGAACTCTCTTTTATACATGGGTACGCCGGCGAGTGCCTCGATTCTCGCAGGCCCACGGCGGAGGCTCGACTTCCGGTGAGGGAATCGCTGCCATCCCTGCCGCCGGAACCATCAGGGAGCCGCCAGTTTTCCGCGTCCGCTTCCGGCTCTGCCCCGATGCATCTTGGGGCCTGTGGTTCGGAAAGTTGTTCCGGTGTCCGGACTTTCGGATGCAGAGCTGTGGGCGTGCGATACTTCTTACCACGTGACGAGGACTAAATGACAACTTCTTAGAGGAGAAGCTTCTCACTTACAAAATTGTAATGCCTTCATGGGCTCCAGACGGTATCTGAAAAGGTTATTTCCAATTCCTCTTCCAGTTTTCAGATTTGCAGGGATACCGTTTGTCTCTCCCGGCAACTCTTCTTTTCCCCCATTTTGCTTTCCGGAACTCTGGGTGAACTTTAAGTACCTCCAAGCCAAAGCTAATCCCTCCGCTAGGCTCTGGGTCTTTTTTCCTGCCTCAGGGGCCTTTCGCCTCATTGACACCCTAAGCCCTCCCCCATCTTCATTACTGACGTTTATCATTCATACAAACGTGCCCATGTCTCAAAAACAAAAAATCTCCTTCGACTCCGTCCAGCTCCAGCTTTTGTCTTATTCATACATTTTTTTAAGGCAAGATGCCCTCAATAGACTGAAAAACTTAACACACTGAAGAGCAAGTGTGATGTGCTTGGCACAAGGCAGGATCGGTAAATTGACATTAAGTACTTTTCAGACATACTCAAACTTGGTTTCGGAAGCATTTGCCACCACTGACCCCACCTGCACCTTTCATGGCTTCAAAAACATCCTTTTCCCTGGTATCCTTCAGGGTTCTTTTCACCTTGCCCACCCTTTAAAAACTGATGTTCTGCCCTACAGTAATATATATCCACAAAACTTAACTCTGAATGGATCACTCACTTAAATGTAAAAGCTAAAACAATTTAATATAAGCCTAGAAGAAAAAAAAGAGGAGAATATGTTTGCCATCTTGGAATAAGCACAGATTTCTTAGAATAAAAAAGGCATCCCAGGCCGGGTGGCTCATGCCTGTAACCCCAGCACTTAGGGAGGTAGAGCAGGGAGGATTGCTTGAACCCAGGAGTTCCAGACCAGCAAGGCCATCATAGTGAGACCCCATCTCAGTTTATATATATATATACATAAAACAAAAATGGATAAATAGGGCTTTTTAAAAAAATAACATTTTTGTTCTTTGAGGGTCACAGTTGAGAAAATGAAAAGCCAAGCTACAGAATAAAATATTCACAATAACATATATCTAACGAAGGACTTGGATCCAGAATATATGAGGACCCTTTACAATTCAGTTATAAAAATACAACCCAACTAAAAACCAGGCAATAAATTTGAATAGAACAAAAGAAGATATACAAATGACCAATAAGCACAGGAGCATCATTAGTCATCAGAGAAATGGACATTAAAACAATGCAATAAGAGACTATTACACACCGGGGCCGGGCGCGGTGGCTCAAGCCTGTAATCCCAGCACTTTGGGAGGCCGAGACGGGCGGATCACGAGGTCAGGAGATCGAGACCATCCTGGCTAACACGGTGAAACCCCGTCTCTACTAAAAAAAAATACAAAAAAACTAGCCGGGCGAAGTGGCGGGCGCCTGTGGTCCCAGCTACTCGGGAGGCTGAGGCAGGAGAATGGCGTAAACCCGGGAGGTGGAGCTTGCAGTGAGCTGAGATCCGGCCACTGCACTCCAGCCTGGGCGACAGAGCCAGACTCAGTCTCAAAAAAAAAAAAAAAAAAAAAAAAAGAGACTATTACACACCTACTAGAGTGGCTAAAATCAGACTGAGAATGCCAAGAGCTGTAAGGATTTGGAACAATTGGAACTCTTATTGATGGGAACATAAAATGTTACAATCTCTTTGCAAAACTTAGTATTTAAAAAGTTGAACATATGCCTACCATATAACCGAGGCATTCCATTTCTAGTTATCCACGAGAAATGAAAACCTTTGTCTACACACAGCCATGTACATGAATGTTCATAGTTTTCTCGTTTTTGGTTTTTTGGTTTTTTTTGAGACGGAGTCTCGCTCAGTCGCCCAGGCTGGAGTGCAGTGGCCTGATCTCGGCTCACTGCAAGCTCCGCCTCCCGGGTTCACGCCATTCTCCTGCCTCAGCCTCCCAAGTAACTGGGACTACAGGCGCCTGCCACCACGACCGGCTAATTTTTTGCATTTTTAGTAGAGACGGGGTTTCACCGTGTTAGCCAGGACGGTCTGGATCTCCTGACCTCGTGATCCACCCGCGTTGGCCTCCCAAAGTGCTGGGATTACAGGCGTGAGCCACAGCGCCCGGCCTCATAGTTTTATTCTTAATAGGAAAAAATGGAAACCACCCCAATATCCATCGAGTTAATGGCTAAACAAAACGTGGGATACCACTTGGCGATAAAAAGGAACTACAGGCTGGGTGCAGTGGCTCACGCCTGTAATCCCAGCACTTTGGGAGGCCGAGGTGGGTGGATCACCTGAAGTCAGGAGTTCGAGACCAACCTGGCCAACATGGTGAAACCTCGTCTCCACTAAAAATACCAACATTAGCCGGGCGTGGTGGTGGGCGCCAGTAATCCCAGCTATTCCGGAGCAAACTATAATGGGAGAAAGCTGATCAGTAGTTGTCTGAAGTAAGGGTGTGGAGAAAGAGAAGGACTGGAAGGGGTCTGAAGAGACTTGGAGAGGTGATGGCAATGTTCTCTATGTTGATTAGTTTGGTGGTTTGTCAAGATTTATCCAATTGTATGCTTTAAATCGGTGCAGTTTACCATATGTGAACTATAGCTCAATAATTGTAGACAAAACAGAAAAATTGGTATTGTTTCAAGCTTGCGTCTCTTCTCATCCTTCTCATCAGCCTTACTCATGATACCTATTTTATTTGTTAATAACTCTCAAATCGGCCGGGCGCGGTGGCTCAAGCCTGTAATCCCAGCACTTTGGGAGGCCGAGGCGGGCGGATCACGAGGTCAGGAGATCGAGACCATCCTGGCTAACACGGTGAAACCCCGTCTCTACTAAATATACAAAAAAAAAAAAACTAGCCGGGCGAGGTGGCGGGCGCCTGTAGTCCCAGCTACTCGGGAGGCTGAGGCAGGAGATTGGCATAAACCCGGGAGGCAGAGCTTGCAGTGAGCCGAGATCGCGCCACTGCACTCCAGCCTGGGCGACAGAGCGAGACTCTGTCTCAAAAAATAAATAAATAAATAAATAACTCTCAAATCTACTCCAGATTCTCTGAAAGCAAATTCATGTTACTGCCAACCTGCTATGCATCCTCGGCTGCATATTCCACAAGCTCCTGAAGCTAAAAAAAAATGTTCAGAATTGAATTTATCAGTGCCACTCCCACAGGAAACAAACCTTCCCTTTCTCTTCCCTAATTCAGAGAGTGATTGAGAAATTTCCCAAGCCAGAAACTTGGAATCATCTCACCTGACATCCTATCTGTCACCTCTGTCTAAATACCGTCTCTGTTTAGGCCTCATTTCTCACCTGGATTAGTCTCCTCTCATCCTTCCCCCTCTGGAGTGTGTTTCAAACCTTAAATTATCATTTCACCCTCTGCCTAAGATAAGTCAGAGGCTTGCCTTACCTTCAAGATGGAGTTCAATACCCACAAAAATTAACAGTTAATAAAAAGATGGAGTTCAGAGTCCTTACTGGGCATACTGGGCTCAGTGACCCCTTCTGACGATGGGTGTTTTCCACACAGCACTATCACCCCACCACCCCCTACATTCTGTGGAAAAAGTCACTGGTACCCCAAGGTGGGACCTGCATGGCCATGTCATACCATGCTGTTCCCTCAGTTCCTTAACTCACTGACACTTGAGAGCACCCCAGAGTTAGCTGGGTCTATCATACACTCTTTTTTCTGTTAATTTGAAACAGAAAAGCTGAAGAAGGATGTTTTGGCCTTAATCTGTACAGACAGCTTTATGTATTCTTCTATATGATGTGTTAAAAATGACATCCAAAACTAAAAATATTCTTGGAAAAAGCACAGAAAATAAAAGCTCTTGGAATTTAAAATGTAAATGTTCAACTTTTTTTTTTTTTTTTTGAAATGGAGTCTCCCTCTGTCGCCCTGTCTGGAGTACAGTGGTGTGCTCACTGCAACCTCCACCTTCCAGGTCCAAGCGATTCTCCTGCCTCAGCCTCCCAAGTAGCTGGGATTACAGGTGCCCATCACCACTCATGGCTAATTTTTCTATATTTTCAGTAGAGTTGGGGTTTCACCATGTTGGCCAGGCTGGTTTTGAACTCCTGACCTCAAGTGATCCGCCCGCCTTGGCCTCCCAAAGTGCTAGGATTACAGGCGTGAACCACCATGCCTGGCCAATGTTCAACATTTTAAGATAGGAAACTCAAAAGATAGAATATCGGAATAAATCCAGCTGGTCCAACATCCAATTAATAGGAGCTTCCAGCTTCATTTTCTACATAGCACTCATTACCTTCTAATGTATCATTTACTTCATTTTTTTGTTTGTTTGTTTTGGTTTTTTTGAGAGGGGAAGGGGTGGCCTGCCCCTCCACACCTGTGGGCGTTTCTCGTTAGGTGGAACGAGAGACTTGAGAAAAGAAATGAGACACAGAGACAAAGTATAGAGAAAGAAAAAGTGGGCCCAGGGGACCAGCACTCAGCATACAGAGGGACCCAGGCCAGCACTGGTCTCTGAGTTCCCTCAGTATTTATTGATCATTATCTTTATCATCTTAGAAAAACGGAAGTGGCAGGATAATAGGATCATCATAGGGAGAAGGTCAGCAGTAAGACATATGAATAAAGATCTCTGTGACATAAGTTTAAGGAAAAGTGCTGTGCCTTGATATGCATATGCAAACATCTCCATAAACCTTTTTAGTGCATAAAGAGCAGCATTGTAAACAGAACACACAATGGGATTTTACACCGAGATGTTCCATTGCCCAGGGACAGGCAGGAGACAGATGCTTTTCTCTATCTCAACTGCCAAGAGGCCTTCTTTCCTCTTACACTAGTCCTCCTTAGCACAGACCCTTCATGGGTGTCAGGCTGGGGGACGATCAGGTCTTTCCCTTCCCACGAGGCCATATTTCAGACTATCACATGGGGAGAAACCTTGGACAATACCTAGCTTTCCTAGGCAGAAGTCCCTGCGACCTTTGGCAGTGTATGTGTCCCTGGGTACTTGAGATTAAGAGAATGGTGATGACTTTTAACCAGCAAGCTGCTTTCAGGCACTTGTTTAACAAAGCACACCGTGCACAGCCCAAAATCCGTTAAACCTTGAGTCACCACAGCACATGTCTCTTGCAAGGACAAGGTTGGGGGTAGGGTCACAGATTAACAGCATCTCAAATACAGAACAAAATGGAGTCTCTTATGTCTACTTTCTATATAGACACAGTAACAGTCTGATCTTTCTTTTCCTTTCCCCACAGAGACGGAGTCTCGTTCTGTTGCCCAGGCTGGAGTGCAGTGGCGCAATCTTACTGCAACCTCCACCTCCTGGGTTCAAACAACTGTCCCTGCCTCAGCCTCCCAAGTAGCTGGGATTACAGGTGTGCACCACCACGCCCGGCTAATTTTTGTATTTTTAATAAAGGGTTTCGCCATGTTGGCCAGGCTGGTCTGCACGCCGCCGCGCCCAGCCATATCATTTACTTCTCACATTGTTACTGTTGGTCTTCCCTAACTAATGCATAAGCTCTATTAAAACAGGAATTTTTGTTTTATTGGCAATATTCCCAATGCCTAGAAGACTACTCCATGGACAACAAGTACTGGATAGTTATTTGTTGAATTAATGAAAGAATGGCTCCAAAGATCTGAGATTATCTTGGGCCTATACTTTTAGAGCCAGTGGGTTAGTCTGCTTTTGCATCTCTGTAACAGAACACCCGAGACTGGGTAATTTATTTTAAAGAGGTTTACGGTTTATGTTTATGGCTCATGGTTCTGTAGGCTGTACAGGAAGCATGGTGCCTGCATCTGCTTCTGGTGAAGCCCTCAGGAAGCTTACAATCAGGGCAAAAGGCGAAGAGGTAGCCCAATGTATCACATGGCAAGAACGAGAGGAAGAGGTGGGGGAGGTAACACTTTTTAAATTTGAGAAAGTCTTTGTCCCCCAGGGAGTGCAGTAGCATGATCTTGGCTCATTGCAACCTCTGCCTCCTGGGTTCAAGCCATTCTCATGCGTTGGCCTCCTGAGTAGCTGGGATTATAGGCGCCCGCCACCACGCCCAGCTAATTTTTGTATTTTTAGTAGAGACAGGGTTTCACCATGTTGGCCAGGCTGGTCTCGATCTCCTGACCTCAGGTAATCCGCCCACCTTGGCCTCCCTAAGTGCTAGGATTACAGGCATGAGCCACCATGCCCAGCCAACACACTTTTAAACAATCATACCTCGTTTGAACTCAGGACAAGAACTCTCTCATTTCTGTGAGGATGGCACCAAGCCATTCATGAAGGATCCACTGGTATGATCCAAACTCCTCCCACCAGGCCCCACCTCCAATCCTGGTGATTACATTTCAATGACAGACTTGGAGGGGACAAATATCCAAACCATATTATCTGGCAAAGCTGTAAAGTATGAAGACAGAATAGATTTGCAGATATGCTGAGATCCAGTGAATTCTCCCCAAGTACTCCTTTTAGTAAAAGTCATCTGAGATTGCAAAATGCCTTATGGAATAAAGGGAAGAGTGGAACTAACCCAAGATTCCAAACAGAAGAAATTCCTGGATGACAGTTGTGCAGCAGATCAAAGTGATTGGCCCCTGTTAAAAGCAGACATCAGTGGCCTCCAAAGAAGAAAAAAATGGACTTCATTCAGTAGAATAAGCTAGAGTTTCTTAGTAAATAGAGAACAAAATATTTCTTCTCTCAAAAAGCAAAACAAAATTTAGAAATTCTGAGGAAAACCACAGCAAATCTAAGAAATCATAATCCAAATAGGGAGCAAGCCAACATATGGCACGATGGAATGTAAGAAAGTAACTCTGATTCTGTCCTTCGGAATGTTTTCCTCCAAGTGGCGTAGGGACTGACTGGGACACTAGCACCCTAGAGAAAAATGGCATCCTACCTGGCTTGGACTTGAACAATATTTACATCATCATGACTGTGTAAATGCTTCTTAGGAGCTTTCAGCTTTCACAATCAACTTAGTGACAAAAGATATGATAATAGGCCAGAATATAATTTCTTTTTTTTCTGAAACAGGGTCTTGCTCTCCCACCCAGGCTGGAGTGCAGTGGCATAATCAGAGCTCACTGCAACCTTGAACTCCTGGGCTCAAGCGATCCTCCTGCCTTAGCCTCCCAAGTAGCTAGGACTACAGTTACACACCACCATGGCCCAGTAACTTTTAAAATTTTTTGTAGAGACAGTCTTGCTATGTTGCCCAGGCTGGTCTCAAACTCTTGGCCTCAAGTAAGTCTCCTGCGTTGGCCTCCTAAAGCATTGGGATTACAGGTGTGAGCCACTGTACCTGACCCAGAATATAAATTTTACCAATCTTGATAATATAAAAATAAATAATATATATAAAAATAAAAATACAAAAACGACCAAAGGTATAGCTGGAGAGTAGAGAGAAAGGTCTTAATATATTGATTCTTTGAAAATGGGAATTGAGATATGGGCTAAAATTAAATACATCAACAACAAAAATCTTGTAAGGAGAGGTTAAAAGCAGTTATCTTCAAAAAGTAGGTCTGAGTTTATAGAGTGGAGGTAACTTATTTGTTATAAGCTCTTTAGGATAAGGTATTTGTTTCATTTTTTTCCTGCATATGTATTACTTTAATTATGAGGATTAAGTTCAGGAAACACCTCTTAAGGAAGTCACTTAAAACACATACACACTCACACAGACACCTCAGGAAATCACATTTGTATTAGCAATATTTTAGCCAGTACTTTCTGCATCTAGATTTATTTCCTTTATGATCATTAAGATTCTCACCTAAACAAGTTGCCAAAATACACTACCTCTGATTTTATTTAGATTCTAAAAGTTAGGATACAAAAAGCACATAAACATCTACAAGTACCAAAACATTTATGATCTTATAATTTTATAGTGCAAGAAAAAGGACAAAGACAGGAATACAAATAAATTATAATCTAAAGAGTTACATACAAAATTTCCTTGATTATTTGTTAAAATCTGCTAGAAAAGTAACAGGAATGTTATTAAGCCTTTCTAGACATTTTGAACACGATCTGACACCGTTCTCTTCAATTTCCTGGTTGCATCCTCAGCTTAGCAGGCACTGGAGACAGCCAGCTTCTTCAAATGGTCCATGAACACCTGCAGGCTAACATCATCAGTTAGGATGGGTGCTCCAGTTTCCTGAAATGTAATGATAAAGATTAGTTGGCAGATATCTTAGAAGCTGGTTAGAATTCATGAGCTGTCAAGCACCTTCCCTCAGAGTATTCACAGGTGTTGTCCCCTCTGCTATGAGTACTCCCATCACCCCATCCTCTGCCTCACTAACCACTTCTTTTGACTAAAGCACAGTTTCCTCGCAAAATCCTTTCCTAGTATGCCGAGATAGGCCGCCACCCCTGCTAGTTTTGAGCATCAGGACTTCTACTTTACCCTCTTCTCCACAGTCCTGATGAAGTACCCAGGGTCTAGCTCCCCACCAATGTGAGCTCACGGAGCCCACATGCCTGCCCTTCCTCTTAAATGCTCTGCTTACCACAGAAGCTGGATAATGGTGTACCCATGAACAAGTGAACCGGTATCTGCACTGAACAGATGGATACTTCAAATATCAGAAAAAGCTTATAATTTTATTAATGTTATGGGAAAAAATTGAATAGAAACCTCAACTTGTAGTAAGATTCCAATTTTGTAAAGACATTTAAAAATATATATATATATACATACACACACAATAATACACTTTATATTATGTAGAAAAAAGCTGGAAATAGTTAACTCTTTAGAAAATGATTCTAGGTAATTTAAATTTTCTTATTTTTTAAAACATATTCATTTTCTACAATGAAACCGTACTGTTCTAATTAGAAAAGTGTAAGCATGATCAAAATGTTTTCAGAGGATTTCAAGGAAGAAGGAGTAGAAGATATACTTTTCTCTATTCCTCCCACTAAGTACAACTGAAAACCTTGGGCATCTTATATAAACCAAGCCTAAGAAGACGTTTAAAGGTGGAGAGAAGACAGAAGACACACTGAAGACCTCGGGACGCAAGCAACAACACGGCAGCGAGTCTCCGGGCTTTCTTATGCCTCATACACTCCGAGTTTGGAGCTGAGGAAGCTGGCAAATTGTCACTGAGTGCAGACTCAAAACAAAACAAAACAAAAAACAACAAAAAGCACCCACTTTCTCTAGCCAAAGGACTAAAGCAGCCTAGCAAGACAGAACAATCTTAGATAATAACCTCTGTACTCCAGGCAAAAATGAGAGGAAAAACTGTGGCCCTGACCCCCCTGAACCAGCAAAGGCTAGGTGGGCAGCCAAAATTTCTACCCTCACAAGGCAGTACCAAGGCACCCCAACACCCCCACCAAGATGGTGGCAGAGAAGGCTAAGTATGGAACCAGGAAGTTCATCCCCAATGGCCAAATAAGAAATTGTCCTACCCCTGTGGTGTCAGTAGAGGTCATGTGGGGAGCCTGGACTTCCACCCCAACCTGGCAAAAATATATGCCCCTCCCCCTGCCTACTGGGGTGGCATCAGAGGCCTGGTGGAGGGTCAGGACTTTCACCATCACCCAAGTGTAACAAGGCCATCTCCACAGCGGTGTCATTGGAGGCTACGGGGGAGCTGGAACTCCCATTCCCACTAAGCAGTAACAAGATATCACTAGGCGCCCCCAGGTGTCAACAGAGGCCAGTGGAAAACCTGGACTTCTCCACCTCCACCTGGCAGTAATGGAGCCCACCAGCACCCCCCACACCCCCACCACCACCTTCCCTGTCAGAGCAGTGTAAGAAAAAATCAGTGAAAAGTAGCAGGTTTAAATAAGATCCAGGGTCTCATACAAACACTCAAGTGTCCAAGTTTCAATTAAAAAAATCACTTATACAAAGTGATTACCAAGACCTCCAAATGAATTTAAAAAGACAATTGACAGGTGTTAACACTGAGTTGACAACAATGTTAAAATCACCTGACAAAGATTTTAAAATAGCCGTGATAAAAATGCTTCATGAGCAATTACAAACACACTTGAAACAAATGAAAGAATAGGAAGCCTCAGCAAAGAAACAACAAGGTCCCAGGAAAGAAGTGGAAGACATGGAGAACCAAAAGGAAAGTTTGTAACTGAAAAATACAGTGACAAACAAAAAGCTCAGCACATAGGTTCAATGCAGAAAGGGAACAGAAAAAAGAATCAATAAACTGGAAGACAAAATAATAGAAGTTACCCAAATGAACAAAAGAAAGAAAATACATGGAAATGTAGTACCTGGGGTACTGCAACAGATCTAACATTCATGTCACTGGATGTCAAAAAAGAAAGAAAAGAGAGCGGGTGACAAGGCATTCAAAGAAATAATGACCGAAAACTTTCCTATTTGGCAAGAGATACAAACCTACAGAAGCAAAAAGCTGAGTAAACCAAAATAGGATAAACCCACAGAAATCCATGCCAAGACATGTCATAATTACACTTTCTTCTCTGCCCCTGCCCATCCACCCTGAAAACTAACAACAGAAAAAGACTACTGGAAGCAGCCAGAGGAAAATGACACCTTCTCTACAGGGGAAAACACTGAGACGGACGGTGAACTTTTCATAAGAAACCATAAAGGCCAGAGGAAGCGGCACAGTATTTTTCAACTGCTTAAAGAAAAGTGCTGTTAGAATCCTATACGCAGAGAAAATATTCTTCAGAAATGAAAGGGATATCAAGACATTCTCAAATAAAAGAAAACTAAAAATCTATCACCAGCAGACCTATGCTAAAAAGAATGGCTAAAAGTAGGCTGGGCGTGGTGGCTCACGCCTGTAATCCCAGCACTTTGGGAGGCTGAGGCAGGCGGATCACCTGAGGTCAGGAGTTCGAGACCAGCCTGATCAACAAGGAGAATCCCTGTCTCTACTAAAAATACAAAATTAGCCAGGTGTGGTGGTGCATGCCTGTAATCCCAGGTACTCGGGAGGCTGAGGCAGGAGAATTGCTTGAACCTGGAGGCGGAGGTTGCGGTGAGCTGAGATCCCGTCATTACACTCCAGCCTGGGCAACAAGTACAAAACTCCATCTCAAAAAAACAAACAAAAAAAAAAAGAAAAAAAGAATGGCCAAAAGATCTTTAAAAATAAAGAAAACATAAAAGCAACCATATAGAGAAATATAATAGGTTTTCCTTTTTAAGACTTATCAATTACGTTTGATGCTTGAAACAAAAATTATAACATTGTCTGATGTGATACTAAATGTATGCAGAGGAAATATTTAACATAATTATATTACTGATGGGGGAGAGGAAAGTGATGGAAGAGGGAGATAAGGTCTCTAGACTTCACTTGAACTGATAAAAAACACCAGTAGACTGTGGTAAGTTACGCATATATGATGTAATACCTAGGGTCTGACCAGGTGTGGTGGCTCATGCCTATAATCCCAGCACTTTGGAGGCTGAGGTGGGAGGATCGCTTGACCTCAGGAATTTAGGACCAGCCTAGGCAACATAGCAAGACCTCATCTTAATTAAAATAAAAAAAAACCTAGGGCACTTAGGAGCAACCACTTAAAAAAGCTAAATAAGGAGATACACTCAAAAACATTACAAACAAGTCACAAGGCAATCCTAAAACATGTTCAAATAACTCATGGGAAGACAGGAAAAAAGTACACACAACGAAGGCAGGAAAAAAGTATACAAAATGAAATGAGAAAAGAAAAGCAGAAAACAAAAAATAAAATGGCACACTTAAGCCCTAACATATCATTAATTACATTTTATAGATAAATGGTCTAAATATACCAAGTAAGAGAGCTCAGCAGACTGCATTAAATACCATGACCCAACTATACACTGTCTATAATAAATTCACTTCTTTTTTTTATTTTTATTTTTATTTTTTTTTTGAGACGGAGTCTCGCTGTGTCACCCAGGCTGAAGTGCAGTGGCCGGATCTCAGCTCACTGCAAGCTCTGCCTCCCAGGTTTTTACGCCATTCTCCTGCCTCAGCCTCCCGAGTAGCCGGGACTACAGGCGCCCGCCACCTCGCCCGGCTAGTTTTTTGTATTTTTTAGTAGAGACGGGGTTTCACCGTGTTAGCCAGGATGGTCTCGAACTCCTGACCTCATGATCCGCCCGTCTCGGCCTCCCAAAGTGCTGGGATTACAGGCTTGAGCCACCGCACCCGGCCTATTTTGTTTTTCTTTTTTTTTTTTTTTTTTTTGAGACGGAGTCTCACGCTGTTGCCCAGGCTGGAGTGCAGTGGCGCGATCTCGGCTCACTGCAAGCTCCGCCTCCCGGGTTCCCGCCATTCTCCTGCCTCAGCCTCCTGAGTAGCTGGGACTACAGGCGCCCGCCACTGCGCCCGGCTAATTTTTTGTATTTGTAGTAGAGACGGGGTTTCACTGTGGTCTTGATCTCCTGACCTTGTGATCCGCCCGCCTCGGCCTCCCAAAGTGCTGGGATTACAGGCTTGAGCCACCGCGCCCGGCCGTATTTTGTTTTTCAAGACAGAGTCTTGCTCTGTCGCCCAGGCTGGAGTGCAGTGGTGCGATCTCGGCTTACTGCAACCTCCGCCTCCTGAGTTCAGGCAATTCTCCTGCCTCGGCCACCCGAGTAGCTGGGACTACAGGCACGTGCCAGCACGCCAGCTAATTTTTGTATTTTCAGTAGAGACAGGGTTTCACTGTGTTGGCTAGGCTGGTCTCGAACTCCTGACCTCATGATCTGCCTACCTTCGCCTCCCAAAGTTATGGGATTACAGGTGTGAGCCACCATACCCAGCCGGAAGAGTTTTTAAAAACCTATTGCAAACAGGAGAGAGGAAATAATAATGACTAGAGCAGCAACCAATGAAATTGAAAATAAAAAGATAATAAAGTCAATGAAATGAAGAGCTGATTCTTTGAGAAGATCAATAAAATTACCAAACTCTAGCAAGACTGACAAAGAAAAGAAAAAACAGAGATGACATAAATTTATCAATATCAGGTATAAAACGGGTATCACTGCAGACTCTATGGACATCTAAAGGATAGTCAGGGAATCCTACAAGCAACTTTATACACATAAGTTTGACAGTGTAAACAAAATGGAACAATTCCTCAAAAAACACAACTGCCATAACTCATCCAGTATGAAATCAGTAATTTGAAGAGCCCTATAACTATTAAGGAAGTTGAATTAGTAATCTAAAAACTCTCAAAAAAGAAATCTCTAGGCCCAGATGGCTTCATAGAAAAATCAATCAAATGTTTGAAGAATCCCCAATAATACACAATCTTCCCCAGAAATTGGAGAGAAGGAAACACTTCCCAATTCATTTTATGAAGCTAGTATTATCCTGATACCAAACCAAACAAAAACAGGAGAAAAAAATGAAAACTACAGACCAATATTCCTCATAAATATAGATGCAAAAATTCTCGAAAAAATATTAACCAATAGAATTCAGCCATATATACAAATAATTATACACTAGGAGTGAGGTTTATTCCAGGAATGGAAGTCTGGTTTAATATTCAAAGAATCAACGCAATTCACCATATTAAAAGGCTTATGAAAAAAAATCACATGATTGGCCGGGTGCGGTGGCTCACGCCTGTAATCCCAGCACTTTGGGAGGCTGAGGCTGGTGAATCACAACATCAGGAGATTGAGACCATCCTGGCTAACATGGTGAAACCCCATCTCTACTAAAAATACAAAAGAATTAGCTGGGTGTGGTGGCAGGTGCCTGTAGTCCCAGCTACTTGGGAGGCTAAGGCAGGAGAATTGCTTGAACCTGGGAGGCAGAGGTTGCAGTGAGCCGAGATCCCGCCACTTCACTCCAGCCTGGGCAATGGAGCGAGACGCCTTCTCAAAAAAAAAAAAAAAAAATTCACATGATTATACCAATGGGTACGTAAAAAACATGACAACAGTAAAAACTTATTCATGATTTAAAAACTCTCAGAAAAATGGCAGTAGTGGGGATCTTCCTCAACTTGATAAAAGAGCTACAAAAAGCCCACAGCTCCTGTTGTACTTAATGGTGGAAGACTAAACACTTTTCCCCAAAGCAGGGAACTAGGCAAGGGTGTCCAGTCTCGCCATTCTTATGCAATATAGTGCTAGAAGTAACCATCAGTGCAATAGGCCAAGAAAATAAAGTAAAAGTAATTCAGATTGAAAAGGAGAAACAAAACTGTCCCTGGCTTGCAGATGACATGATTGTCTAAGTAGAAATTTCCGAGAAATTTACAAAAAAACTCCTAAGAGTTGTAAGTGACTCAGGAAGGTCACGGAATACAAGATAAACATACCAAAGTCAATTGTATTTCTATATACAGCCATCCCTCAGTATCTGTGGGGGAATGGTTCTGCGACCTCCTGTGGATCCCCAAATCCACAAATGCTCAAGTCCCTAATATAAAATGGTGTAGTATTTGCATATAACCTATGCATACCCTCCCATATACTTTAAATCGGGGTCCCCAACTGCAGGCCACGGACAGTACTGGTCCATGGCCTGTTAGGAACCAGGCCACACACCAGGTAAGCAGCAGGTGAGTGAAACTTCATTTGTATGTACAGCTGCTCCCCATCACTCGCATTACCGCCTAAGCTCCACCTCCCATCAGATCAGTAGCAGTACTAGATTCTAATACGAGTGCAAACCCTATTGTGAACAACGCATGTGAGGGATCTAGGTTGTGTGCTCCTTATGAGAATCTAATGCCTGATGATCTGTCACTGTCTCTCGTCACCCCCAGCTGGGACCATCTAGCTGCAGGAAAACAAGCTCAGGGCTCCCACTGATTCTACATTATGGTGAGTTGTCCAATTATTTCATTATATGTTACAATGTAACACTCATAGAAATAAAGTGCATAATAAATGTGGTGATGGAAATGCCGCACATCTTGACCTTATCAATCTCAGTATCCTGGTTGTGATACTGTATTATAGTTTTTGCAAGATGTTAACACTAAGGGAAAATGGGTAAAAGATACAGGTGATCCCTCTATTATTTCTTATAACTATATGTAAATTTACAATTATCTCAAAAAAAGTTTAATTTTAAAAATGTTGTAAGAAAACAGAATGAAAGGAAAGACTCACCTGAGAGAGACACAAATGCTGGGAACAGTTAGATAAAGTAGTAATTGGTGGGGGGCGGGGGGGGGTGGGGGAAAAGGGAAGGAATTAGGCTGGAAAGTGAGGAGGCGGCAAAATCGATGGTGACAAGTTGCCCTGTGTTCTTGGCAGAGAGAGGACTAGGGGCCACGCTGCTGTGTGACGACGGAGACCCCCATGGAGGCCACAGTACAGTGCTCTGTCCCCTGGCCTAAACCTGGTATGTTATGCTGTATATTGTGGAAGGGGACCCGCCCAGGGAGCCCCCTCAAGCTCCGGCCCAGCCATGTTATTCAAGTTGATTCGCTGCCTGCTACTCCCCAGCAAAATACCCAAGTTATGCAGTTATTCTGTCTCCAGGCCAAAAGAGATCCAATTTGTAGAATTTTAAAACAAGTTTAAAAAAAAAACTAGCTTGGCATCCTCCCCAAATACCTGAAAATTTCTTACCTGGCCCCAAGCATAGAGGTTATTGTGTGTCTGAGATGGGTTCACTTTGGACAAAAGGAATCGAGCCTTTAACAACAACAAAAAGGTTTAAAGATTAAAAAGTGACATTAATATTAACGTAACAGAAAAAAGATAATTTTTTACAACATTTCTTTGGTTAAATTAGAATTGTTTTACTGCACAGTAATCTATTTCTTTAGCTTAAGCCCAGTGGCTCTCCATTTAAGGATCCTAAAACATAAAATGTGTATTTTATCTTGGCAATCCCTTTACATAAGTGTATTTTGACCACTCATTTAAAAAGAAGTCATATTTGGAAGATTACCTGTGTGTCAACTTATGTCATCGCATAAAATATTAACCATCCTGTTTGGATGTATAGCAATAACAATCTATCATAAAACGAACAAACCACTGGAGCTAGAACTCAGCTCGCTCACCTGACTGCCTCCATGCTCCGTGTTAATGTAACGTGGCATCGGGAAGCGTGCTTGCAGAATTTCTTGAGCATCATCCAGTGGTGCCTGCAGAAGGTGCTTGAAGTTTTCGTACTCGGGCATGTCCTGGTAGCCAGCTTTACGCCATTGGGCTATGGTCTACACAGAAACAAACCAACCAAAAACTATTGTGGAAACTGTAACAACAGCCTTCACTGACACTGACATTCTACCATCGCCACCCAGAGCTTGTTTCCAGTGAAGAAGTCTAATGTCAAAAATGACAAGCTTCAGAGGGAGAGCAAAGCAGAGCTACCCGCAGGAGGAGAAGCAGGAGTAAGCAAAATGGGTGCATCCAGGACACCCCTGCCTGCACATTCCCCCAGGAATGTCAGGCATCACTCATGCCTCCTCTCTTCTATATCAACTAGTTAATAAAGCCTGTGGATTACTCATCCCAAGGAGCGGCGGCCTCCCTCCTTTTCCACTTCCACTGTTATCACTCAGTCTAGCCTCTCATCTCCACACATCTGGTAAGGAAAGGGCTTTGTTGGCTGCCCACACAGACTCCACTCCCCCATCTCCTTTCCTAATGGCACACATATTACACTCCTCCTCCAGTAAGCAGTAGTCATACAGACTTGGGTGCAATTGACTCATCCCTATCCCCTGCTTCCCCTGGGCCCTGAATTGGGGTACCCTTGGCAAAGGAGACAAGAGCTGTAAGTCAAAGTATGAGTGTTGATCAGGCAGTGAAGAGAAGCCATATGCTAAACTGTGGAAAGCAGATGATCTGTCTCCCTGACTAAGCTACACATTTTATCACCCTTCCTTCTTTTATACTCATCAGCAACTGCTCTAGAAAATATCTTGTATACACAGGAAATCAAGAAACATTCATTAACTGATTCATATACCTTTATAAATAAAGTGAAGTGCTTTTGCATGTTATTTAGGGGAACAAGAAGACAATGGACAGGAAAAATGGAGAAAGAGGCTACAGCAAGTGTGCAATGTGTCTTAACAGAGCCATTAACATGGCTCCAGGCAGAGGATTCTCATCAGATGCTTCCTTCTGTAGCCTGCTCACTTCCTCTCAGAGTGGCAGTTACCATTTTCCAGGTCTAAATGCTGTGATTGACAGTTGGCCTATGGGAAATGCCCACAAGCTCACCAGGGGCCAGGAGTTCCTAAGAACACTTGCATTCAGCACACTCGGGGCTTTGGGAAGGTAACAGCAGTGTCACTGTCTTTATCCTTAGAACCCCTCACTTGCACAAGAAGGTGCCCAATAAACAAGTAAATGAACAGCATCAGGGGTTACAGAAGAAATGTCGATAAGGGGTGAGCTTAGGGCAAAGAATGCTTCATCGTCAGTACAGTCGGCCCTCGGTATCCACGAGATTGGTTCCAGGACTACTCCTCCCAATACCAAAGTCCATAGATCCTCAAGTCCCTCATACAAAATGGCATAGTATTTGCATATAACCGACGTACATCTTCCCATATACTTTAAATCATCTTTAGATTACTTATAATACCTACTACAATGTAAAGAGTATATAAATAGTTCTTGTGTGTTTCTTTTCTTTTTCTTTTTCTTTTTTATTTTTTGAGACAGAGTCTCACTCTGTCGTCCAGGCTGGAGTGCAGTGGTGCAATCTCGGCTCACTGAAACCTTCACTCCCCAAGTTCAAGCGATTCTCCTGCCTCAGCCTCCCAAGCAGCTGGGATTACAGGCGTCTGCCACCACGCTTGTATTTTTGTATTTTTAGTAGAGACAGGGTTTTGCTATGTTGGCCAGGCTAGTCTTGAACTCCTGACCTCAGATGATGCGTCTGCCTCGGCCACCCAAAGTGCTGGAATTACAGGCATGAGCTACCACACCTGGCCTGTGCTATACATTTTATTTGTATTATTTTTTATCATTATTTCAAAATTATTTTTAACCTGCCATTGGCTGAATCTGCAGAGGTGGAACCTGTGGATACGGAGGGCCGACTGTACCGATACCAAAGAACCCAGTGGGAAGAGCAGCTGGTCATCCAGCTTTCAGTCTAGGACTATTACTGACAGCCTAGCACTTGTGTGCAAGTGGCTAGCAGAATGGGTGTTAATATGCTGAAAAAAGTTTGCAGTTATAAAATACTGAGGAGTATTAGAAAACGAATACTTCCTAAGTTACTACAGGAATCCTGAAACACAATTTATATCTTTTCACGATATCAGAAATCATTTCTAATGGTTGGCCACTAGGAAACCAAATCTATAGCCAATATTATGAAGGTAGAGAACATACAATAGAAGAAAAAGCATCACTGAATATAAATATCACCATCATCTCCATTAAAGGATTTTTCCATAAAGATGCAAATAATTCAGAGAAGCTATTCCCTTTCTCAGGGCATGAGCCCCACTGAGAAACCCCACAGAGTCTCAGAATTTCTTTCTGAGAAAGAAATGGACTGAAAGCTATCCACAGCCATCCTAGGGATCCACAGACATAGTGTGAAGTTCCCTGGGCCATGTTATTTCATCAAAGCACAACTTTAGCTCTAAACGCTAACTCTGAAAGAACAGTAGTATGTATGAAATATTTACTGAGGAGAATAAACTAGTTTTGCCTAACTTTGAAGGTAATGATTTACAGTGATTTAAAAGAACCGGCCAGGCGCAGTGGCTCACGCCTGTGATCCCAGCACTTTGGGAGGCTGAGGCGGGCGGATCACGAGGTCAGGAGATTGAGATCATCCTGGCTAACACGGTGAAACCCCGTCTCTACTAAAAATACAATAAAATTAGCTGGGCGTGGTGGCGGCCGCCTGTAGTCCCAGTTACTTGGGAGGCTGAGGCAGGAGAATGGTGTGAACCTGGGAGGTGGAGCTTGCAGTGAGCCGAGATCCGTGCCACTGAACTCCAGCCTGGGCAACAAAGCGAGACTCCGTCTCAAAATAAATAAATAAATAAAAATAAAAAATGAACCGCCTGAGATTTTTTTACGGCATATATTATTATTTATTATTTTTTGAGACGGAGTTTCACTCTGTTGACCAGGCTGGAGTGCAGTGGCGTGATCTCAGCTCACTACAACCTTCACCTCCCGGGTTTAAGTGATTCTCCCACCTCAGCCCCCCAAGTAGCTGGGACTACAGGTGTGTGCCACCACACCTGGCTAACTTTTGTATTTTTAGTAGAGATGGGTTTTTGCCTGTGGTCAGGCTGGTTTTGAACTCCTGACCTCAAGTGATCTGTCCACCTTAGCTTCCCAAAGTGCTGGGATCACAGGCATGAGCCACTGTGCCCGGCCCATATTTACAGCAAATATTGTTAAAATTAATAAATATACAAATACTCCAGAGACATAAGAAAAGGTTCTATTCACTAGAATAAAAGCCACTGCGCTTTCTAAGCCCAAACTGTTGTTACAAATGTCATTAAAAACCTAAATTAATAAATAAGAAGAAAACAAAAACCAGTTAAGGACAATAATTCTCCTTGTGTGCACAATTAAATAAACATGTATGCCTTTTCCCCAATTTAAAAACAAAAAATATCATCTTACCTCACCAAGATAAATGACAATTTGAAAGAAAGTATCCATCAGCAAAATTCTGTCAGCTAGAATGCTGCTGCTATCCAAGAGTACTGGCTGAAGAAAAAGAAAGAGAAAGATGGCATTGGTTTTCCCTGCTCCCCACACAGCCACCACTTCCACCCAACCCTGACCCCATGCCTGGTATCTATAGCAAAGGCTATTTACAAATGGTGCCCAGCACAGTGGCTCCCCCGTTTTCTTCCTGACACACTTCCACTTTCTGCTCCTGACTCATTCTCGACTTTGTAGGAAAAAGAGACTCCAAATAATTCCTCATCAACTGAGAAGGGAAATTAATACCTTTTTTTTTTTAATTAAGAGTCGGGGTGTTGCTCTGTTGCCCAGGCTGGAGTCAAGTGATGTGTGACCCTGGCTCACTGCAGCTTCGACCTCCTGGGCTCAAGTGACCCTCCCACCTCAACCTCTAGAGTAGCTGAGGCATGCCACCATGTCCAACTAATTTTTTATTTTTTGTAAAGACAGGGTCTGACGCTATGTTGACCAGGCTTAGTAGTATCTTTTGATCTTAGAACGGAAAATAATTCTGAATATTCTCAGTTTTGTATGTATTTTAGAAATTAGAGACACTCTCTGTAGATGAGACAGAATACAGATGCCTATATGAAAAATAGCATTTAACACAAATTTTGAAGTTTACTACAAAATATATATTATGGCGCCGGGCGCGGTGGCTCAAGCCTGTAATCCCAGCACTTTGGGAGGCCGAGGCGGGTGGATCACAAGGTCAGGAGATCGAGACCATCCTGGCTAACACAGTGAAACCCCGTCTCTACTAAAAAAATACAAAAAAAACTTAGCCGGGCGAGGTGGCGGGCGCCTGTAGTCCCCGCTACTCGGGAGGCTGAGGCAGGAGAATGGCGTAAGCCTGGGAGGCGGAGCTTGCAGTGAGCTGAGATCCGGCCACTGCACTCCAGCCTGGGTGACAGAGCGAGACTCCGTTTCAAAAAAAAAAAAAAAAAAAAAAATATATATATATATATATATATTATGGCTGGGCGTGGTGGCTCACGCCTGTAAACCTAGCACTTTGGGAGGCCAAGGCAGGCAGATCACTTGAGCCCAGGAGTTCAAGACCAGTCTGGGCAACATGGCAAAACCCTGTCTCTACCAAAAACACAAGAAATTAGCTGGGCTATGGTGGCACGTGCCTATGGACCCAGCTATTCAGGAGGCTGAAGTGGGATGATCACCTGAACCTGGGAGGTGGAGGTTGCCGTGAGCCAAGATTGCACCACTGTACTCTACCCTGGGTGACAGAGCGTCTCAAAAAATATATATGTTTATTATTTATTTATAAGTAATATTTTATATATTATATAAATAATTATATAATTTTTGTTTTGTTTTGTTGTTTTTGTTTTTGTTTTTTTTGAGACAGAGTCTCGCTCTGTCGCCCGGGCTGGAGTGCAGTGGCCGGATCTCAGCTCACTGCAAGCTCCGCCTCCCGGGTTCACGCCATTCTCCTGCCTCAGCCTCCCGAGTAGCTGGGACTACAGGCGCCCACCACCGCGCCCGGCTAATTTTTTTGTATTTTTTTTAGTAGAGACGGAGTTTCACCGTGTTAACCAGGATGGTCTCGATCTCCTGACCTCGTGATCCGCCCGTCTCGGCCTCCCAAAGTGCTGGGATTACAGGCTTGAGCCACCGCGCCCGGCCATAATTTTTATATCAGTAATTATTATCATTATTTTTTTTTTTGAGAGGGAGTCTTGCTCTGTTCCCAGGCTGGAATGCAGTGGTGCAATCTCAACTCATTGCAGCCTCTGCCTCCTGGGTTCAGGCGATTCTCCAGCCTCAGCCTCCTGAGTAGCTGGGATTACTGGTGCCATGCCCAGCTAATTTTTGTATTTTTAGTAGAGATGGGGTTTCACCATGCTGACCAGGCTGGTCTCAAACTCCTGATGTCAGGTGATCCACCTGCTATTTTAGTAATTATTTCTTTTTTCTTTTTCTTTTTTTTTTTTGAGACGGAGTCTTGCTCTGTCTCCCAGGCTGGAGTGCAGTGGCCGGATCTCAGCTCACTGCAAGCTCCGCCTCCCGGGTTCACATCATTCTCCTGCCTCAGCCTCCCGAGTAGGTGGGACTACAGGTGCCCGCCACCTCGCCCGGCTAGTTTTTTTTGTATTTTTTTTTAGTAGAGAAGGGGTTTCACCGTGTTAGCCAGGATGGTCTCAATCTCCTGACCTCGTGATCCACCCGTCTCAGCCTCCCAAAGTGCTGGGATTACAGGCTTGAGCCACCGCGCCCAGCCAGTAATTATTTCAATAATAAAAGTAAGTTGTACTCAATAAAGAAAATTTTAAAATGTGTACCCAAGTATAACAAATATTGATATTTTGGTTTTTTTCTATATAGTTCTTTATTTTTGCAGGGAATATTTTAAAAAGTTTCTATTTTGACTTTTTTTCATGTAACATTTTTACATAAGGACTTTCTATTTTATTATGTTACATACATTTTGTGAATACTGTTGGCCCTCCATATCGGTGGGTTCCACATCTGAAAATTCAACCAACCTTGGATTGAAAATATATGAAAAAAATATGCATCTGTACTGCACATGTACAGACTTGTTTTCTTGTCATTATTCCCTAAACCATACAGTATGACAATTATTTACATAGCACTTACATAATAGGTATTATAACTAATCTAGAGATGACTTAAAGTATATAGGAGGATGTGTCCAGGTTACATGCAAATATTACACAATTTTATATTAGTAACTTGAGTATCTAAGAATTCTGGTATCTGAGGGAGGTCCTGGAACCAATCCTCCATGAATACTGAGGGTCAACTGCATTTCTCAGGTTACTTATTTACTTTCCTATATTAAACATTCGGATTGTTATTTGATTCTCTATTATAGTAGTTCCTTTACTTTTTTTTTTTTTTTTTTTTTTTTGCACAAAGTCTATTCTGTATCTAGGAGTCTTTCTTTCAGTTACAAGACATGGAATTGCTGGACGTAAGTATACGAGCACAAGGAAAAAGAAAGCAACCATGTTATTTCTTAGAGTTTTTTACATTTATTCCTGCCTTCCACAAATAATAGCTTTATATGTCTTTGACATTTTCCTAAAGGTATTTTTTAATAGAAATTTAAATTAAATTTAATTTAATAATTTAAATTACTATAAAAACTCAAAGTTTTATTTTTTTACAGTTCTGCTCTCTAAGTAAATTTGCTTAAAAAAGAATATATAAGTTAGGTGATTCCAATCCTCAGGAAAGCACTCAGGTAGAGCCTTACCTCTGGTGGCCCATGAAAGGAATAAGAGTAGAGAATGGGCTGGATCATGATGAGGGACTGGGTCAGGTCCTGCCGGGCAAAATGATGTCTGTAATATGACGACTCATCAGGACTATTGTTAAACACTTGAAGAAATGGAGATCTTCTCAGATGGAACATGAACTGCATTCACAAAGAATGAAAGAGAAATGCATATAGTTGTAACCTTCTTAGACACCCACAGAGTAGATCTACCTCAGGGGTCTGAAATAGGAGAACCCAGAAAAGGGCTCTCTGGGTTCACAGAACAGAAAGCATAAGGTGGTACCAGGGGCTGGGGAAAGAGGAAAACTGGGAGTTGTTGCTTAATGAGCACAGAGTTTCAGCTCTGCAAAGTGAAAAACTCTAGACATCAGTTGCTCAATAATGTGAATACACCTAACACTACTCAACTGTATGCTTAAAAATGGTTAAGATGGTAAATTTTGTTATGTGTGTTTTACCACAATTAAAAATTAAATTATTTTATTTATTTATTTATTTTTAAAAAGGGCCTCTAGCTGGGCGTGGTGGCTCATGCCTGCAATCCCAGCACTTTGGGAGGCCAAGGCAGGCAGATTACCTGAGGTCAGGAGTTCGAGACCAGCCTGACCAACATGGAGAAATCCCATCTCTACTAAAAATACAAAATTAGCCGGGCATGGTGGCGGGCACCTGTAGTCCCAGCTACTCAGGAGGCTGAGGCAGAAGAATTGCTTGAACCCAGGAGGCGGAGGCTGTGGTGAGCCAAGATCGCGCCATTGCACTCCAGCCTGGGCAACAAGAGCAAAACTCCGTCTCAAAAAAAAAAATTAAAAATTAAAAAAATATATATATATATTTTTTAAAAAGGGCCTCTGGGTATGTCAGAGCTTCCACAGTTAAAAGAAACGCCAAAGAAACATTTCCAGAGTCACTGTGCCAGGCAGTGGAGACAGAATATCTGCTCTCAGAGAAGTCAGACCCAGTGAGAAAGGCACACTTGGGGCTACGAGTTATGAGCCAGAGTATAGGATAGCACTGGGGAGGTGGGGGTGGAGGGCCAGGAGGAGACTTCCTAGAGCTCTGGGGACTGACGGTGCACCCTGAGAGACGTGGCTGAGGAGGCCACAGCGCCGGGGGAAGGGGATTCCAGGCACAGGAACAGCAGGTGACGACTTAGGACACAAGCTGGGATGGTGAAGTATGGGTGCAGGGGAGAAAGGGACAAGGGATGACACTGCAGCCATAGGTTCTCACCCTCGAGGATGAGAAGAAGGGGTGGGGACAGACTTTCAGCTCACGTTAAAGAGTTGCCAGAACATGAAAATGAGCTGCCTTGTGAAGTATAAAGCTTCCTGAGACTCCAAATATTGAATCATAGGTTCCTAAATAATAATCAAGGCTGACATTCAATACATCCTACATGCAAGGCACAAAGCACTTGACAAGAACTACTTAATCCTTCCAATAAGCCCATTAGGTAAGTTCTCTTACCATCCCTAGTTTACAGGTGAGGAAACTAAGGCACAGAGGGGCGAGCAACTTGTCCAAGGTCACCCCACTACTGGTCACCCCACTACTGAGTGTCGCAGCTGGACTCTACACCAGGCCGCCTGGCTCTAGAGACTGGGCTCTTGGCCTCTCTCCTAGAATGCCTTGACAGAAGGAATCTGAGAAAGCATTTCATCTGGTTTTCAAGCTGTGCTCTTAGAGTCTTCATCAAGTCCTCAGGGGCCCAGGGATGAGGGCTCTGGTGGGACCCACCATAGGGGTGGTATATGGGCACAACCGGAGAAGCACCAACTCTATCTGCTTTATGTGCTGGCTTTTAAGGGCAGCTCCTCAAAGAAAGGATTCCATGACTTAAAAAAAAAAACAACCCCACAAACCACTTCACCAGAGCAACTCCCCACTGCTAGAGGTGGGAAACCAAACTCTACAGGGCTCTGGAACTTCCTCTAAGGTCAGCCCAGTGGGGCCAGCACTGGAACCTCACCCTGACTCTGGCCGGTCCAGGGCTCTTCCCACAACACAACACAACTTTAACCTCTCACACATGGGCACCTTAGAGTCCCAGGCACCTGCTATGGAGCTAGGTCACATTTAGTGCTGAACAGGTGACTGGCATTGTGCTAAATATTTAATACTCAATTGGCCTCAGCTCCTGCAATCCTTATAGACACCTATGAGTTACACTCTATTTGCTAAATTACAATGGAGATGGAAATTCATCTACTCTTCCCGCTCCTCTCTCTTGTCCAATGGCTTCCAAAGGCTTTGTTTAGGCTTTGTTCATGCTGAGTGCAGTTACTTTCAGGAGCTGCTTATTGCTCACTCCTGGTTGTGATGCACATAATAACCACAGACATATTATTAAATACTTGTTGCACTAACTGTGGTTTTGTTTTGTTATATTCATCTCCATGTGTGCTCATTTTCTTGGTTTGTTACTGAGGTAGCTGACGGTTTCCCCAGAACTTCTACACATCAGAGATATTTTTTATGGCCTTATATCAATGATCCTATTTTGCAAGTTCATGAAAATGTATGCATGAGTTTCCTCCCCTCTGCATGTCATCTTTATCTTCTATAGGGCTTAGGGTGCTGTCTTGCCTCGACACACATTCAACTTGGGTTGAACAATCTCTGTCACCTAAAGACTGAGTCTCAAGACATTAAAAAGCCTTCACTTTACCCTGAGAATAAAGTTAATTTCTATCAAAATTTACCATTCTGTAGTTATTTTAGAAACATATATTACTTACCTGAGGATACAGAGAAAAGGAATCTGATAACCTAAAAGAAGTGGGGTCTTCTTTGTTATACTGTCCAAACTTTTGACACTATGGAAAGAAAATACCAAAAAACAAACACACACACACAAAGAGAGAGAGAAAAATCTAAGTTAGCATTACCTGGAAATATTCTTGGACTAAGCTACATCCAGTCTGAACTCTGCCACTTACTGTAAGTCCTAGACTAGCACTTCTCAAGCAGGCAAATGACCAGGGGGGACTTGTTAAAATGCAGGCTCTGGCCGGGCGTGGTGGCTCACACCTGTAATCCCAGCACTTTGGGAGGCTGAGGCGGGTGGATCACGAGGTCAGGAGATCGAGACCATCCTGGCTAACACGGTGACACCCCATCTCTACTAAAAATACAAAAAAAAATTAGCTGGGCATGGTGGCGGGCGCCTGTAGTCCCAGCTACTCAGGAAGCTGAGGCAGGAGAATGGCGTGAACCTGGAAGGCGGAGCTTGCAGTAAGCCGAGACTGCACCACTGCACTACAGAATGGGCAACAGAGCGAGCCTCCTTCTCAAAAATAAGAAGAAGAAGAATAAATTTTTTAAAAAATGCAGGCTCTTGGGAGGAATTGAAGATTCTGCATCTCTAATCAGCTCCTAGGCAGTGCTGGCCTGAGGACTGCCCTGACCAGAGAAGCTAGGTGAGCTCTTCCAGGCACCTGTTCCACATGAAAACCCTCTAACATCATGAAAACTAACAATTACAGTTACGCTTTGATGTTCTCTCACACTAAAACTCAAATTTATTTCTCCCAGTGGCAGATTTCTGAACCACAATGTTTTCTCCTCCTGCCTTTATTTCTGCTCACACATTTCTGGTCACTAAAGAATTGGGTTATTCACCATTTAAAGAAACCCCATTTCTAACAATAACTTTCTTCCCACAAAATCTGGTGTCCTTCCGCAGTTCTCATCTTCTTGAATTTCCCAGCAGCGTGAGCCTGGTGACTGCCCAAACGTCTTGAAACTTTCTCCTTCAGCTGCTAATACATCACTTTCCTACTTCTCATAATCTCTCCAACCAACCCTTTTCTGCCTTCTTCAATGGTTTTGTTTTCCTCCTCCCCCTAACTGTGAACTCCTTGGGGGTTAGTTCTTGGCCCCCTCCTCCTATCCTCACTGTTATGGGTACAAATGAACACTAGAGCCAGATGGGTGTCACCCAAATCCACCCTCCAGTGTCCAGTGCTGACCTCTAGCCTGAGCCCCAGTCAGGACACCTCATGAGACATACTTTTGCAAGTTCACATTCAATTATCAAAAATAAACTATTACATTAAAAAAAGAGATTCACCTTCTCTCACCCTAAAATTGCACTCCTTTCCCATCTTCTACCTCACCACCACTCACGCAGTTAACCACGTGTGAAATGTCACTCAATGCTGACTTTTTGGTTTTTGACTTTACAAAGAATCATTTCATCAAGTTTTATCAATTCTTTCAGTTTACATCCTGATTTCAAAACTTCAGCTTCCTCCATCTCTACTGCGACTACACTGGTCTCAGCACCATTGAGCCTGAAAAATCTTCCATTCACAACAATAGCCTTTTCTCCTTGCAATGTGCCTCACATGGTGATATTAAACGTAAACACAAGCATCATGCCGACGTCACACCCCTGCTTAACAATCACACCCAAGTCTCCCTTGCTCCCTAAAGTTAAGGAGCTCCCCAATCAAAGTGTACCTTCCCTGACTCTGTTCCCCACTGCACAACCTGGCCTCATGTGACACTGGTTTCTCCAAAGTCCTCAGCATAAGCTAAAAGACCCAGCTAGCTCCTGCGGGCTCATTCCTGCTAGCTCTCCACTCAGCAGGCCTTGCCTTCTCCTCTCCAATTAAGCTATTCTTTAATAAAAAACCTGACTCAAGGCTCATTTCCACAGGAAGTCTTTGTTTTTTTTTTTTTTTTTTTTTTTTTTTGAGACGGAGTCTCACGCTGTCGCCCAGGCTGGAGTGCAGTGGCGCGATCTCGGCTCACTGCAAGCTCCGCCTCCTGGGTTCCCGCCATTCTCCTGCCTCAGCCTCCTGAGTAGCTGGGACTACAGGCGCCCACCACCGCGCCCGGCTAATTTTTTGTATTTTTAGTAGAGACGGGGTTTCACTGTGGTCTCGATCTCCTGACCTTGTGATCCGCCCGCCTCGGCCTCCCAAAGTGCTGGGATTACAGGCTTGAGCCACCGCGCCCGGCCAGGAAGTCTTTGTTAACCACCTGGGCCCTCTGCCCTTTGAAATCTTAAAGCAGCACTTTTCAAATTATGTTTGAAATGTTGACACTTCCTGAAAAATGGATCCATGAGATAGCAAGGGCAAATAGAGGGCTGAACAAAATGAAACAGTTTCCTTACTGGGCCTTTCCATGGTGCCTTTGATCACAAACACAAGCTGTGACTCTCCAGGAAGGTAAGATTATTGTGTGCCAATTATTGATTTATTGCCTTGTGCTGGCTCCACACTCACCCCCTTTGCCTGCTGTGCAATGGACATGGGCCCTTTCACTACCTCTCGTTTGCCAGCTGGCACGACATCAAGCTTTGTCAGTAGAGTGCGCCGGAGGTGTCAGCTTCGGGCGCCTGAGTGCTCACTCAGCAGCTTCCTGGGTGCCAGGTCCTGCTGCACCGTGGCTTCCCCAGCGCTGAGTTCCTGAAGAACATGGCAGCCAGCAGCTAAAGCAGCATCCCTGCATGCCTCCAAGGAGACATTTTCCGGTACACAGCTTTCCCTGGCACCCTGGAGGGTGGATTTTCTTCAAATTCTAGAGAGTGAATTTCTAGCAAGTTCCCCTGGCACAGCACCATGGCAACCTCTCTGCAAAAGACTCACCAAGCCATGGCCATGCCGTCCCAACTAGGTCTGGAACAGCCCTGGGGAGAGGGAGCACTTCCTTGGGTGCTCTATCTCAGCCCCAGAAGTAGTGGCTGCCCAATTCTCTATACTTCCTTCTAGCCAGTCTCTCTTCTACTCCCTTATTATATTCTTTATAAAAGACTTCCCCTGTTTAAATTACAGTGTTACTTCTTTCATCTTATTAAACCCAGACTGATACAAGACATCTCCCTAAACTCACCAGGCCTGGATCCCTATTTCTAAAACTACTTTCCAGATTTAGAAGAAAAATACAAGACCAGAGCATTAGCAAAATGACTCAACTAAGTCAACTCAACCCACACAGATTTGTATCACTCTCCAAATGCTCCATGCGTGTTGTTTCTTCCCCAACTATAATGTAAATCTCTGAGGGGAAAATGCACATTTAACACGTCTTTACCAGAATGTCCAGTGCGCGGCATAAGGTAGGCAACTGATAAATTCTTGGTGATTCACTATATAATAATAATTGTGACAATTTTCTTCTCTCGAAAGTAAAGCAGAAACCAAGACTGAACCTAATGCCACTGTCCCCAATTTACCAGTCGGATGAGTTGTCGGTCCAGCCACCGGAGCACATCAGGTCCCTCCTCTGACTCCGCTCGGAACACCCCAAGCCGTGCCATCAAGACTGCTGCAGCCTCCTGGTCAAATGCTGCTTCTATGTGCCTGAGCTGACTCTGTACATCTGCCCAACTGACAATTCCAGAGTTAGTGCCATGCTTATGTTTAGGAGAGAACAGAAAGCCAGACATCCATTCAGATAAAGAAACACAGGGTAGGTGCAGTGGCTCATTCCTGAAATCCCAACATTTTGGGAGGGCGAGGTGGCAGGATTGCTTGAGCCTAGAAGTTCAAGACCAGCCTGGGCAACATTGTGAGATTCCCATCTTGCTACAAAAAGTAAAAAAATTTGCCAGTTTTGGTGGAAGGTGCCTAGGGTCCCAGCTACTTGGGAGGCTGAAGTGGGAGGATCACTTGAGCATGGGAGGTTGAGGCTGCAGTGAGCTGTGATTGTGCTACTGTACTCCAGCTTAGGCAACAGAGCGAGACTGTCTCCAAATGGTAATAAATAATAAGTTTTAATCTATATTTCCTACAAAAAGATGATGCTTCTAGGCAAGCATTCATAGACCCAACTGGGTTAGCCAAAAATGCCTCCCCTTCTGATCAAATAAGCCAATGACGTCTGGTGAGAACCACTCAATGGAATCAAAAAGACAGACTAACAAATGTTAAAGTATCTCTTCAAGGGAAAAATGTCAGTCAGTTCCTCAACAGAAAGGAAACCGGGGCTGCTTACTTTCGGGCGATGGTGGTCACGCGGATGCGTCTCTGGGTGCTGGAGTGCTGATAATGCGTGACAAATTGGATCGCTCCTCTGCCTCCTTGGGGGATCGGGGCGTTGTGCTGCAGGGTGAGAGGCCATAACTTTGTCTGTTATGGGCACGACTCAAACACAGTGACAGAGCCCACTGTACTCTTCTAAAATGACTGACACAGCAATGATGGGAAGGTTCTTGACACATTTTGAAGGGTACACTTAGGATTTGCACATTTCACTGCATATAACCTTTATCTCCAAAAAAGATGAAGAACTACATTCAATACTGAACTTAAGTTAATGATATACCTGCTGAAGGGTTTAGGCATGAAATACATGGATGACTGCGGCTTGTTTTGAAATGCATCAAAACGAAGATGGATTGATGGATCACAAACTGGACGAGTTATTGCTGATGAATTGTCCAGTCTGTGATGGACTGTTAATCATTAAACAAACACAGGCATCCCTCACTTATTTGCAGATTTTTTAACAAATTGGAGATTTGTGGCAATCATGCATCAAGCAAGTCTATCAGCGCCGGTTTTCCAACATGTGCACACTTCATGTCTCTGTGTCGCAGTTCAGTAATTCTCACAATATTTCAAACTTTTTCATTATTATTATATATCTGCTGTGGTGATCTATGATCAGTGATCTTTGATGTTACCATTTTAATTGTTTTGGGGTGCTACAAACTGCACCCATATAAGATGGCAAACTTAACTGATAAATGTCGTGTGTATTCTGGTCGCTCCACTGACTGACCTTTCCCTCATCTCTCTCCTCCTCCTTGGGCCTCCCCTATTTCCTGAGATACAACAATATGGAAATGTGGCCCACTAATAACCCTACAATGCCCTCTAAGTGTTCAAGTGAAAGGAAGAGTCACACGTCTCTCACTTTAAAAAAAGCTAAAAATCATTAATCTTAGTAGGGAAGGTACGTTGAAAGCTAAGATAGCTGAAAGCTAGGCCTCTTGCCCCAAACTGCCAAGCTGTGAATGCAAAGAAAAAGTTGGAAATTAAAAGTGAATACGTGAATGATAAGAAAGTGAAACAGCCTTATTGCTGATGGGGAGAACGTTTTACAAGTCTGAATAGAAAATCAAACCAGACACAACATTCCCTTAAGCCAGGGCTTAATCCAGAGCAAGGTCCTAACTCTCTTCAATTTATGAAGGCAGAGAGAGGTAAGTAAGGAAGCTGCAGGAGAAAAGCTGGAAGCTGGCAGAGGTTGGTTCCTGAGGTTTAGGGAAAGAAGCCATCTTCATAGCATAATGGCACAAGGTGAAGCAGCATGTGCTGATGTAGAAACTGCTGCAAGTTATTCAGATTAGCTAAGATCACTGATGAAGGTGGCTACACGAAACAACAGATTTTCAATGTAAAGGAAATAACTCTTCTGTTGGAAGAAGATGTCATCTAGGATTTTCACAGCTAGAGAGAAGTCAATGCCTGGCTTTAAAGCTTCAAAGGGCAGGCTGACTCTCTCTTTAGGAATTAATGCAACTGGTGACTTTATTTTGTTTTTCTAAGACGGGGTCTTGCTCTGTTACCCAGGCTGGAGTGGAGTGGCATGATCTCAGCTCACAGCAACCTCGGCCTCCCAGGCTTAAGAGATTCTCCCACCTCAGCCTCCCAAGTAGTTGGGACGACAGGCTTACACCACCACATCTGGCTATTTTTTGTATTTCTGGTAGAGGAGAGGCCTCACCACACTGCCCAGACTGGTCTTGAACTCCTGAGCTCAAGCAATCCACCCACCTGGACTCCCAAAGTGCTGGGATTACAGGTGTGAGTCACCGCCCCCAGCCAGCTGGCGACTTTAAGTTGAAGCCAATGCTCATTTACCATTCCAAGTATTCTAGGACTCTTAAGAATTGTGCTCAATCTATACTTCCTGTGCTCTACAAAAGGAACAACAAAGCCTGGATGACAGCATGGCTTACTAAATATTTAAAGCCCACTGTTGAGACCTGCTGCTCAGATAAAAAAGACTCCTTTCAAAATATTACTGCTCATTGACAATGCACCTGTCACTCAAGAGCTCTGAGGGAGATATAAAGGAGATCAACGTTTTCATGCGTGCTAACACAACACCCATCCTGCCTCCCATGAATCAAGGAGAAATTTCAACTTTCAAGTCTTATTACTTAAGAAACACATTTTATAAGACTATAGCTGCCATACATAGTGATTCCTGGGATGGTTCCAGGCAAAGAAAATGAAGAATCTTCTGAAAAGGATTCACCATTCTAGATGTCATTGAAGCACTCATCATTCATGGGAAGAGGTCAAAATATCAACTTTCACAGGAGTTTGGAATTTTACTCCAATTCTCATAGACAATTTTGAGGGGTTTGAGACTTCAGTGGAGGAAGTCACTGAAGATGTGGTGGAAGCAGCAAGATAACTAGAATTAGAAGTGGATCCTCAGCTGGGCACGGTGGCTTACGCCTGTAATCCCAGCACCTTGGAGGCCGAGGCAGGTGGATCACCTGAGGCCAGGAGTTCGAGACCAGCTGGGACAACATTGTGAAACCCCGTCTCTAATAAAAATACAAAAATTAGGTGGGTGTGGTGGCAGGCACCTGTAATCCCAGCTATTCGGAAGGCTGAGGCAGCAGAATTGCTTGACCCTGGGAGGCAGAGGTTGCAGTGAGCTGAGATGGCGCCACTGCACTCCAGTCTGAGCACTTGCTCCAGACAGAGCAAGACTCTGTCTCAAAAAAAAAAAAAAAAAAAAAAAAGTGGATCCTGGCCAGGTGTGGTGGCTCACACCTGTAATTCCAGCACTTTGAGAGACTGAGGTGGGAGGATCACTTAAGCCCAGGAGTTTGAGACCCGTCTGGGCAACAGAGAGACCCCATCTCTCTCTCTTTTTTTTTTTTCTTTTTGAGACGGAGTCTCACTCTGTTGCCCAGGCTGGAGTACAGTGGCGCAATCTTGGCTCACAGCAAGCTCCGCCTCCTGGGTTCACATCATTCTCCTGCCTTAGCCTCCCAAGTGGCTGGGACTACAGGCACCCATCACCATGCCTGGCTAATTTTGTTTTGTATTTTTAGTAGAGATGGGGTTTCACTGTGTTAGCCAGGATGGTCTCAATCTTCTGACCTCGTGATCTGCCCGCCTTCGCCTCCCAAAGTGTTGAGATTACAGGCATGAGCCACCGCACCCAGCCTTTTTTTTTTTTTAAGACAGAATCTCCCTCTGTCTCCCAGGCTGGAGTGCAGTGGCGCAATCTCGGCTCACTGCAACTTCCACCTCTCGGTTTAAGCGATTCTCCTGTCTCAGCCTCCTGAGTAGCTAGGATTACAGGTGTGCGCCACCATGCCCAGCTAATTTTTCTCATATTTTTAGTAGAGACAGGCTTTCACCATTGTTGTTTAGGCTGGTCTCGAATTCCTGACTTCATGATCCGCCCGCCTCAGCCTCCCAAAGTGCTGGGATTACAGGTGTGAGCCACCGCGCCTGGCCTATTTTTTTTTTATTAAAAAGATAAAGAAGTGGATCCTGAAGATGGGCCTGAATTGCTACAATTTCATGATAAAACTTTAATGGATTCGGAGTTGTTTCTTATGGATAAGCAAAGAAAGTGGTTTGTTGAGATATAATCTACTCCTCATGAAGATGCTGTGACATTGTTGAAATGACAAGAAAAGACTTACAATATTACATACACTTAGCTGATAAAGCAGCAGCAAGGTTTAAGAGCATTGATTACATTTTTGAAAGAAGTTCTACTGTGGGTAAAAAGCTATCAAACAACACTGCATGCTACAAAGAAATCTTTCCTGGAAGGAAGAGTCGACCAAAAATTTCATTGTTGCCTTATTTGAAGAAATTCCCAGGCCAGGTGCAGTGGCTCACACCTGTAATTCCAACACTTTGGGAGGCTGAGGCAGGTGGATCACTTGATGTCAGGAGTTCAAGACCAGCCTGGCCAATGTGGCAAAAACCTGTCTTTACTAAAAATACAAAAACTAGCCAGGCATGGTGGCAGACACCTGTAATCGTAGCTACTCGGGAGTCTGGGGTGGGAGAATGGCTTGAACCTGGGAGGTGGAGGTTGCAGTGAGCCGGGATCACACCACTGCACTCCAGACTGGGTGACAGAACAAGACTTCGTCTTAATTAAAAAAAAAAAAAAAGAAGAAGAAGAAAAGAAACTGCCACAGCCACTCACCCTACAGAACTACCAACCTGATCAGTCAGCAGCCAACAACATCAATGTAAGACCTTCCACCAGCAAAAGATTATGACTCGCTGAAGGATCAGATGATCATTAGCATTTTTTAGCAATACAGTTGACCCTTGAGCAACACAGGTTTGAACCGTACGGGTCCACTTGCATGTGGATTTTCTTCTGCCTCTGCCACCCGAGACTACAAGACCAAGCCCTCCTCTTCCTCCTCCTCCTCCTCCTCCTCCTCCTCAGCCTACTGAACATGAAGACGAGAGTATGAAGACTTCGCGACGTCCATTTCCACTTAACAAACAGTAAATATACTTTCCCTCCCTTATGATTTTCTGAAAAACATTCTCTTTTCTCTAGCTTACTTTATCGTAAGAACAGAGGATATAATATATATTACTTACAAAATACGTGTTAATCAATGGTTATCGGTCAGGTTTCCAGTCAACAGTGGACTACCAGTAGTTAAGTTTTGGGGGAGTTACGGTTGTATGTGAATTTTTAACTGTGCAGTGTTGGCACTCCAACACTACTCAATGGTCAACTGTAAAGTAGTTTTTTAATTAAAGAATGAACAGGCCGGACGTGATGGCTCACGCCTGCAATCCCAGCACTTTGGGAGGCCAAGGTGGGCCGATCACAAGGTCAGGAGATCGAGACCATCCTGGCTAACATGGTGAAACCCCGTATCTACTAAAAATACAAAAACGATTAGCCAGGCGTGGTGGCGGGCACCTGTAGTCCCAGCTACTTGGGAGGCTGAGGCAGGAGAATGGCGTGAACCCGGCAGGCGGAGCTTGCAGTGAGCTGAGATGCGTCACTGCACTCCAGCCTGGGCGACAGAGCGAGACTCCGTCTCAAAAAAAAAAAAAGAAAACAAGAATGAACAATGTTTTCAAAGACATAACACTAACACACTATAGTGTAAACATTACTTTTATATGCAGTAGGAAACCAAAATATTCACGTGACTTGCTTTATTGCAATATTCACTTTATTGTAGTAGTCTGGAATTGAACCCACAATATTTCCAAGGTATGCCAGTACAGTAAAATGTTAATTACAGAATCAAGTTGATGGGTGCACCTACGTAGTACGTGTTCACTGCAGAATTCTTTCAATTTTTCTGTATGTTTGGCATTTTTCATAATAAAATATTAGAGAAAGAATCGATGCGCTCAAAAATTCACCGACATGATGATGACTAGTAAAATCCATTACACTTCTAATGACCTTATCAATTCAACAATTAAGGGACAAAAGTAATTTGCTGCCTGACTCCGACTAAACCCTTGAAGGAATAAATAAGAGGAGGTCATGCCAGACTATCATCAGGCCTAATACAATACCCAAGGAATATCGGTTTGTGAAGAAAGTAACCAGAGACCACTGGTTTGAGATAAATCACAGAACAGGACACTAAGACATGAAGACATGTGAAGAAATCCAACTCACCTGATTGACAACTTCAAAATAGATGCCAAGTGTAGATGTAGGATCTAGGCCACAGATTTTCCACTGACTCGTGCCACCAACACCAAGTTCCTAGGGGTAGGAAGAGGAATTTAAAAAACAAAACCAGAAAACCATCCCTATGGTTAATCGCTAATGAAAAGTACTGACTGAGTAGGGCAGGCTACTTAGAGTACCTTCTTTTAGGACAACATTTAAGTTGAAATGAAATCTTCTACTGAAAAGAGAACAACTGCAGACCCGATGAAGGCTTAATATTTACATTTATACTTTAAAATTAAGCTTTTTATATTGACATTCTGACTAATTTTTATTATATCATGTATACTACACATATATGTTGTTTATGTTTATTTATTTTGAGATGGTCTCTCCCTCTGTTGCCCAGACTGGAGTGCCATAATACAATCACAGCTCGCTGTAGCCTCGACCTCCTGGGTTCAAGCAATCCTCCTGCCTCAGCCTCCCAAAGTGTTGGGATTACAGGTGTGACCCATCATTCCGGGTTTACACATACACTCTGTGTGTGTGTCTGTGTGTGTGTGTGTGTGTGTGTGTGTTGGGGGGGGTGTCTCCACATGACACATAACACTGAAATCCACAAATAATCAAGTCAGACTCTTAAGAAAGACTCTTAAAGTGAAATCACACGCAGCTCTAAGGTGGAGAGCGGAGAGGGTGCGCTCTGTTCTGTCAGTACTTCCTAAGCTAGATAATGAGCTAGATGGATTCACGGGAGTTCACCTTCCTTGTAGTGGCCTTTTCTAAAGGAAGCAAGTGTTTATTATCTGCTGGAAGGTAAAGAGCTGTGCTCAGGAAAAAGGCCAAGAAGTCTAAGGAGCATTCATGCCTCCTCTTCTTGCCTTGCTAACCCCATTCTAAGCACCAGACCGATGACGGCTCCTCCAGAGCTCCAAAATATCATTTTCTTACTGATACACAAATTCCTTACTTAAACATTTGCTCTTTAGATGCCTTTATTGGAGAAACAATAAAGACAATTAGGAAACGACCATTTTATAACCCTCAAAGAAATAAACTGATTTGCGTGAAGATCAGTGGATGCTAAACACCATTAGGCCGTTGGCAAACAAGATTTTCATATTGTGCTACACACTCTCATTCAAAAGACTGCCCGCTCATGGCAAAGGGGAAAGTCTTCCCTTGCGGTAGAAAGGCAGTGGGGCAGTCACCAGCATCACCGTGCAATCTAACTCAGCACATCTAACATGGGGCAGCAGACATAGTGCCTCTGGAGGTGACACAGCATGAAGTACACACTGCCCAGGAAGAATGTTTGGCAAAAGGCTTCACCTGAATCTAAACACACCTTTAACCATAACTCTCACTTTACAAAGGCTATAGTATCAAATGCAATGCCGGTTGGGGGAAAAACAGCTACAAAGGGCATCTGGGGGGAAATTAGAGAAAAAATATGAATTAGATATTAGGAAATTACTATTTTCTTAAGTTTGATAATGACATCATGGTAGGAGAACATCCTTGTTTTTAGAAGATGCATACTGAAGTGCTTAAGGACTGTCATGATATCTGCAAATTATTTTCAAAGGTCAGCAAAAAAAAGTTGATAAGTCAAATGTGGCAAATAAAGGACAATCAGATAAAGCAAATGTGGCAAACAAGACAATACAGCAATTATGGCAAAATGTTAACAATCAATGACTAAATGGTAGGTATACAGAAATTCATCATACTCTTCTTCAAACTTCTCAGTATGTCTGAAAATTGTATTTCCTATTCTCTGCATCCTCATTCCCCAAACAAAACTTTCATGGCTGAATTCTACTAGAAAAATTAATTAGCTTGTACTAATTCATAAAAATGCCTTCTTAAACTATTTCAGGAAGTCTTCAGCAGGCAGATTTTAAGTCCATGAAAAATATTTTATAACAAGGCAGTCTTCCAAAGCCTTGCCAGGAAATAGGGGTACAAGCCCCTTAGTACTCTGGGAGTAACGAATGACTCATCAGATGGGCTTTAGGGCAGCAATCTGCCTCACTCAGAAGACTACAGGAATATGCTCTCAAATCGCCTTGCCTCTGCCAAGCTCAGCAAAAGTTGAATCTATGTGGTCACTCAGGAACGTTTGTTGCTGACAACATGAAAGAAGACCCACACTTCCAGTGTGCCAGGCACGAACTGCTTCACCTGAACCAACTCACTTAAACCTCCTAACAATGCTGTAGAGCAGGCACTGTTATTATCCCCATTTGCCACGTAAGGATACTGAATCACACAGCAAATAAGTCCTTTGCTCGGGCCAGGTGTGGGGTGTAAACCTGCACCCTGGATCCACATCTGGTTCTCTGGTCTACCCTCCCACTGACGATGACAGTGAGGGAAGAACATGACTGTGTAACCCCAGCCCAGGACCACCCTAGAGAGGCCTTGCCAAACCAAATGGTTTCCCTCCTAGCAAGTAAAGTATAATCAGAGGAAGTGGACAATAAGCAAAGCCACTCACTCCAAATGGTAACTAAACTGTTCTCAAAATCTATTACAAGAGAAAACAGACGTCTGCACACACAGCAGTGTCACCCACTTCCACACCAACTCATGGTGATCTCTGTTGTAAAAGGCTTGTTATTAGCTGAGTGAGACAAAGGTATCACCTCTAAGGGCAACGAGCAATAGGCTTACTCTGGAGGGACTGTGCTGAATGTTTGCCTTGTGCTGAACAGCATGGCATGGCTTCGGCACAATGACCACGGGCAGTAGAGTCACGGACACTTGGGCTCTAGCTCCTGCATGTCAGTTCTGACCCTGAGCAAGATACTGAACCTTTCTGAGCCTCAGTTTCCTTCTCTCTAACCCTTTAGATGAACAGATGGAATAACACCACCTCTCCGAGTAAAGTCATCAGTGAGGGTTAGCCCTTCTGTCACTGCAGACACATCCGACAGGTGACACATGTGAGATCATCATGCTCTGACACTTCTGACGGGTTAAATCCAGGGCAGGAGGTGAGGGTGACGGAGTTGTTTTCCTTACATTTTCTGACACACACGGTCCTTTCACATTCAGAGATACGCATGGACCAATGGCTCCTGCAATCTTCAGTTCCCGAGAGGTCTATAACAAATACATGACAGTGTAAAGTTAAAGATCACTTCAATCCACCCTGCTCTCATCTTGGCCACAATGAAAGCTTAGAGGAAAAATATAACACTACTATTCTGCCAGGAGAAAACCCCACATGGATCATAACTACTTAGACCTACAAATTTCTCCGCAGCCACTGAGATTAGAACTTTAATAAAATCCGCCCTTAGAAACACGTGAAACAGGAGCATTTTCAACTCTCACAACTTACTTTTTAAACTTTGAAATTACTGTACATATAGATAACAATTCTAACAATACTACATTCTTTTCCAATTCCTTGTATGAATATATTCACATTCATGTATATCCCTAATTATTTGCGTATTCCTAATCAGAGAACATACTATTTTGTGTTGCTTTAAAAATACTTAATTCATGAACTCCAATATAATGACAAGGCCAACATACCTAGATTTTTAAAATGTGAATTCATTTCAAAAGTCCATCTTTAAAAGAAAACCCTTAAACATTTAAGATTATCGTTTAAAGTTTAACCTAGATGATTTAATAATTATCTCTAATTCTCCAAGTAATAATTCCAATTATATCTTCTAATGGTGGCCCCCTACCTGCCCGCCAACCTGCGACTCTGTTGCCCACACTGAGTGCAGTGGCACAATCATAGCTCGCTGTAGCCTCAAACTCCTGGGCATACGTGATTTTCCCGCCTCAGCCTCCTGAGTAGCTGGAACCACAGGTGTGCACCACTGCATGTGGTTAATTTTTTTTTTTTAATCATTTATAGAGACAGGGTCTTGCTATGTTGCCCAAGCTGGTCTGTAATTCCAGAGCTCATGCAGTCACCCCACCTTGGCCTCCCAACGTGCTGGGATTACAGACATGAGCCACCGACATGAGGCCTAACACCCTCTTCTAATGTTTTCTCAATGACTTAGAATCAGCTGTATCAGGGCCAGGAGTCCCTACATGGGGAAAAAAAAACTCGCTATGCTGTCTTTTTTTTTTTTCTGAGAAAAAATTTCACTCTTGTTGCCCAGGTTGGAGTGCAATGGCACGATCTTGGCTCACCGTAATCTCCGCCTCCTGCATAACAGCAATTCTCCTGCCTCAGCCTCCCAAGTAGCTGGGACTACAGGCACGCACCACCACGCCGACTAGTTTTGTATTTTTAGTAGAGACGGGGTTTCTCCCTTTTGGTCAGACTGGTCTCAAACTCCCAACTTCAGGTGATCCGCCCACCTCAGCCTCCCAAAGTGCTGTGATTACAGGCATGAGCCACTGTGCCCGGCCCAATGCTGTCTATTTTAGGGCACTCTGGCTATTCTTCAGGAAGGCATTAAACACAACCACGGCTCTGTGCAATGCAGTGAGCCATGCTGATGGCTGGGTGGATGCAGACCACTGTGCGGCTGCCCCTGTCCTCAGGCCACAGTGCTGCTCATAACACCCACCCTACTTCCTATTCTGTCTCCTACTGCCTTGAAGTAGGGTGGAGCAGAGCCTGCAGGGGAACCAGGCAGCTCGTTACTTAGAACATAAATAAATATAGAGGTCATACTCAAGAAGAAAAGTGATAAAGTGAATAACATGCTTTGTAACAGCCATTTGGTTGAGATCCTCTTAATTGGCTTTTACACACCCGTGTCCAGCAGGTGGGGGTTGCCTGAAGTCTGGATATTGATTGAAAATGTAAGAACACTATAATTCCATTGAAGTTTTAAAAGTATGGCCAGGTACAGTGGCTCATGCCTGTAATTCCAGCACTTTGGGACACTGAGGCGGGAAAATTGCCTGAAGCCAGGAGTTTGAGACCAGCCTGGGCAGTACAGTGAGTCTACATCAAAAAAAAAAAAAAGTCTACTGTACCTTTACGTCCAAAGTAGCACCAAATGCCATTCGGAAATCTCCATTAAAATCTTTAGTAAAGATTCTTTGGAATGTCTGCTTGAAGAGAGAAGTGTTGAAAGAATCTCCCATTACCATGTAGCCTCTAGGTAAGAAGAAAACAATCAAGTGAATATTAGGAAGATTGAAAGCCATTCAGATGCTCCCTCAGTATTTACAAAAATAATTTAAAGAAAAAAAGAAACCAGGTCCCTAAAGGTGCTACTGATTAATTTAAATATAAAAAACAGGCTGGGCACAGTGGCTCACGCCTGTAATCCCAGCACTTTGGGAGGCCGGATCACTTGCGGTTAGGAATTCAAGACCAGCCTAGACAACATTGTGAAACCCCATCTCTACTAAAAACACAAAAATTAGTAGCTATAATCCCAGCTACTCAGGAGGCTGAGGCAGGAGAATCACTTGAACCCAGGAGGCAGAGGTTGTAGTGAGCCAAGATCGCACCACTGCACTCCAGCCTGGGTGACAGAGCAAGACTGCTTCTCAAAAAATAAAAAAAAATAAAAACAATAATAATAATAAATAAGTAGATAATAAAATAAAATAAATTAAAAAATAAAAAACAGCATGTTCAATTCACACTTAGGAAAGAAACTACTTCTAAAGCATTAAACAGAATAAGAACAAGTCTAATTCCTCTCACAGTTCTTTGGTATGGGAAAATACCCAGGCCTGTGGGATATCCTTTTCAGGTTAATTTACTGCCTCAAAACACTGAATTCTTGACTTACAAGAATTATTTTTTCCAACTCATAAGTATTAACACAATCCCTTACTGAAGTTAGAGGAAAACATTGCGTAAAATGTCAGCATTTCATGCATTTGGACAAAGAAGCACAGCTTGATGCAAGTTATGCCTCCAAACGTCATTCATAAAACAAGATCTCAGAATCTGGAAGAACACAAGAAAGATCATCTGGCCCGGCCATCTCAGAGCGTCTGAACTGTCTAGTGAGGAGTCAGCTATTTGGCACCAAATATCTACCTCTTCCTTAGTTTCCTGGAACAATGACATTTTCCAGCCTGCCTTGCCTGTGGCCATGTGCCTCTGTTGGCGTGTGAGTTCTGCCTGTTACTGTGTCCTTTACGTGTGGAGTGTGTTCCTCCAGGAAGAGCAATCCTTCTCTGACCTTTCCTCCTTCCTGCTGCTGTAAATGGCTAGAGCTCCAGCAACTGTCTTGAGCCACCGATGGCATATGAATGTGGCAGAGCAACTGAGTAGGAGCCTCAGCCCCTAGATGAAAGCAACATACTAGCCCCGGGCTGCCCACCTCCAGAGAAATAAACTTATTTTGGGTTTTCTGTGACATTCACACAATTCTAATACGAACTCTCAACCAACCCCTCTACAAAATACCTGCCAAGTTACATCCAGACTAGGCTTGAACTCCTCCAGCATCGGGAGCTTCCTCCCCGAACTGTCCAATTCTGTGTTTGAACAGCTCTGTTAAGAAAGGCCCTTCTTGATATTGAGTGAAATTTCATTTGCCAGCAGCTTCCACCCACTGGTTTGGTTCTAGTTCCACCCTTTGGTCATATACAGAACAAATCAGATTCCTTCACAGGAAAGTCCCTCAACTGTTGAATACAGTTCTCACACCCCACGTGTCTTCAGCTTAATCTTTTCCAGCTCTTTCAATCATTCCTCACATGACAGTTTTCAGGACTCTCCACCACTGCTCTTCTTCAAACATTTCCAGTTCATCTCCTATCGCCCCTTGAAATTGCAATGCTCAGAAAAGAAAACAATATATTTGGATAAGGTGTGACTAGCACCAAAGAAACCAAGAATATGGTCTTCCCTGAAGATAATCTCCTCCTATAGCGCAGCCTAGGATCACCTTGCCTTTGCTGGAAGTCATCCCACACTGTTGGCTCACCTTGAGCTGTACTAACACATGTGTGCACCAGATGGTAGTTCTTCACAGAAGAAGTTCACACAAACTCTAGTACACAATCTAAGGATGTTCACAAATACACTAAAGCTTTTCTATGGACATTCTGAGTCAGAACTCCTGGAAGGCCCTGGTAGGAGTTCATACTATTAAATGTGGATTACTGAGATAGCTATATCAGTATCATTTGGGACCCTAATTCTATCACCTAACTCATCTGCTGCACTCTAGGACAACTCCAGCTGATTCTGGTTCTACCTTCTATTCCCTTTACTCACTGGGGACCAGCAGCATCACCCGGGAGCTTGTTAGAAATGCAGAATCTCAGGCCCATTCCACAGCTCTATGATGCTTCTCAAACTTCTGTGCATGCAAATCACCTGCAATATTGTTCAAATGCAGGTTCTGATTCAGGTCTAGAGTGAGGCTCAAGATGCTGCATGGTTCTCAAACTCGGCTCTATGTTAGAATCACGGGAGAAACTTTAAAAATGCTGATGCCCAGGCTACACCTCATGCTAACTAAATCAGAATCTCTGAGGACAAGACCTAAAGAAAGAGTAGTTTTTAAAGCTTCCCTGAAGATAACAATAGGTAGCCAGCTTCAGACCAGTGCTCATCAGCGGTTCCTACACTTTTTCATGTGCCCCAGAATCTCCTAGAGAGCTGTATTCCTGGGGTTTCTGATTCAGGAGGTCCGGGTAAGGCCTAGAAATATACAATTCCAATCAGTTCCCAGGAGCCCCTAAGGCTGCAGGTCTGGACACCACCACATGTTGAGAACTACTGCTCCACACTCTGGCCTGTGAATATAATACTGAATTAGGCTCGGTGTCAGTACAGCCTCTAGGTTGAGTGCACTTGGAATTAGCCACAAAGTACGGCCACTTAGCCAGGTCAAGTTTCTCCTAGTTGCTTCAGCATTCAGACCCTGTTTTCCCCACTTCTCAAAAGGAAGTGCCCTGATGAAGGCCAGATAGTCCATACTGCTTGCTTTCCTGGCCTGGTCTCTGTAAAAGTGTTAACAACTCTAAGGAAGAAATGAAGTTACTCTGAAATGACTTGTTTGTAGTGAACCCTTAAGCCCTCCTACTCATCACTGCTTCCTTCTCCAAGGAGCCCTCCCCAGTCACTGAAACCACAGCCCAGAGCTACCTGAAAGCTTCTCCAAGTTGGCCATGCCCATTCCTATGGCTCCATCACTAATTTCTCTTTCCTTAAAATAACACTTTCACTCTGCCCAGGTTTTTGCTGTCAACATACCCAGTAAGATTTGCACAACATTTCATCTCCAAAAGTCCAGTTTGATCAAGGGCACAAGCATAAATATCAATGCAGTGACCATTTGCAGCTGTTCGATTAGCAAGCATCTCATAGTGCTGTGAAGAGAGGAAAGCTATCATTAGGAAACACTGACATTATTCCCAAGGTATACCTGAATACACCAAAGGAGGTAATCAAATATAAAAATATGTAAATCATTTTCTTTTCTCTTTTTGTGATAGTCTCTCTCTGTTGCCCAGGCTGGAGTGCAGTGGTGCGATCTCCACCTCACGGGTACAAGTGATCCTCCTGCCTCAGCCTCCCAAGTAGCTGGGATTAAAAGCATGCGCCACTATCCCCAGCAAATTTTTGTAATTTTATTTTTATTTATTTATTTTTTGAGACAGAGTCTCATGCCGTCACCCAGGCTGGAGTGCAGTGGCACGATCTCAGCTCACTGCAACCTCTGCCTCCCAGGTTCAACGGATTCTCATGCCTCAGCCTCCTGAGTAGCTGAAATTACAGGAACATGTCACCACACCCAGCTAATTTTTGTATTTTTAGTACAGACGGGGTTTTCCCCATGTTGGCAAGACTGGTCTCAAACTCCTGACCTCAAGTGATCCGCCTGCCTGGGCATCCCAAAGTGCTGGGACTATAGGCGTGAGCCACCACACCTGGCTTAATTTTTGTACTTTTAGTAGAGACAGGGTTTCACCATGTTGGTTAGGCTGGTCTTGAACTCCTGACCGGAAGTGATCCACCCCCCGCTTCGAAAGTGCTGGGATTACAGCCGTGAGCCACCAGGCCCAGCCTGGAAATCATTTTCAAAAATATCTGAATAAAATAAAAATATAATTTTCAATGTCAAAACCCTTTGAGTAGTTTTAAGGCCACTCACTCTAATTAAGGTCTGAAAGTAGGAGCAATAATTTAATAGCAGCTAGGGTCAGAAAACTGTCTCTGAAACAGCGTCTTGCTGACCATGACACATGACAGCAAAGTAGCTGTCACTCCAGAGCAGCCCAAACCTGACAATGGGCTTTCAGAATTACAACCCGTACCCAAGAGCACCTACCTTCGTTGCCTTTTTCATGAATCGTGCATTATCTTTCTCAATATCATGCCAAGAACGAATAGGAATCTTTAATTCATCTCCAACCACCATGCCAGGCCCTTGGGTAGGGGGACCTCCAGTAAACAGCATGATCCTGGCTCCCGTGTTTGGAAAAGTGCCCTAAAATAGCGAATGGCAGCATGTTAGAAGTATACAGCCCCACCTCTGTGTATGGTTTCAATTTCCCAATAGAAATACTCCGAAGATGCATTCTCTCCAGCTGTTCTAAAAAGTGGTGATACTGCAGAATACTACAGATGATAATGCAGAAAAGCAGCACTTACCTTCTTCCAACCTGATGGGTTTGCACACTTTTATTAATTCGCTGTGAGTGCTCCCCATTGCTCTAATTCTCAGTTTTTCATGAAAACTTTTGGCATTTTCAAAATGTTGAGGGGCTCCCTCAACATGCATGATAATGATGCCTGAAATGCTTTCTGATACATTAACACACATGGTTGACTTAGATCACAAGTGATTTTCAAACAAAGCCAACAAATATATTTTCTGAGAGCAAGTCTGTATGATTTGAGAGGTCCTGGTAAATTCCAAATTACCTCCAGCAAGCCAACAGCAATGGACAAAGCAACGCCAGTGGATCGCAAAGGTCTCTTCCCCTGAGTTACTGGCCATGGGTCCCTCTGTAGCTCCCCAAGAAGATCAGTGAGGTTCATATCAATCTTGTGAACAGGCTGCAGAAATCTGCAAGATTTTGAACAGACACATCAACCCAGATTGAATAAAGTACTATGGTCTTCAACACTAGATGCCACACAATTATTGCTCTCCAAGATAATTATTCGGAGTAGTAAATGACGGGTAATTTTTTTCTTCAAAGCTATCTCTCTACTAACACAAAACAATTTAAAGCAGTTTTATTGAGGGATATAAAGCCCAATACTTAGCAATTTAAATATGCTGCATGGAAAAAAAATTGTCTTGAAAAGAAGCAATTCAGTTTAATTAACTTTTAGGCAGCAAAGAAATCCTAAGGACGTGCCTAACACAAGTTCAGTCTATGGGAGGTCCACTTAGGTGGACAATCGTCATCATTCCTCATCATTCTAATCTGTGCTTCTCTTAAGCCTTGAGAGTAAGAGGTTGTCTTCAGCATGTCGGGCGATGCATTTTATCGAGCTTGCTAGCCCAGTCTAGGGCAGCCCCAGGCGCTCAATGGGCTGAGTGAAGTGAATACCCGGTCTTAAGTATGTTTGAGGACACATGAAAGAAGTCTTTTCAGTTTTTCCAGTTTTACTTAAGCATCAAAAAGGACATCAGATGTGGAATGTCTAAGCACAGCAATTGAGCACAGTGGTCTCAAAACCTTTTTGACAAAATACTGAATACTGATGAGGCTTAACCATTTATCTTTTCCTCTAATAATAAGAAAATAAAAGTTCTAATATTTTTCTTTCCTTACTTCCGTGGATCATCTGCCTGTCCATCATAGTACATGTAACACTTCATGTTGGGATCTCACCTGGTTGAAGCAAAAGGGTGCTCCTGTGGTTGCACAGGTCGTGCTTGCTGCATGGGCATGGCTGGCTTGGTCAGGCCCAACATATCCTTAAAAAAAAAGGCCAAAAAGATTCATTTCCAATGACACGAAAAGTGAATGACTAATTTTTAAGAAATGTCCTCAATTGGGTGTGGTGGCACGTGCCTCTAGTCCCATCTACTCAGGAGGCTGAGGTGGGCCAATGGCTCGAGCCCAGGAATTCAAGGCTACAGTGAGCCATGATCACACCACTGAACTCCAGCCTGGGCTACAGGCTCTTTTAAAGAGACCCTAGTCTCTTTAAAAGAAAAGGAAAGAAAAAAGTCCTTGTTCCTGATCCTGTAAAAGTAAGGTACAAACCTGTATTTGCTTTGCAGTTAAATCCTTGGTCCCTCGGAAGACATAACTTTTGGAGATTCCTTCGCAGCTTAGTTCATGAACCTGCACCATCCTGCCAAATGTGATCAGACCCACCAGAGCATCTGGAGGAAGAAGACTCAGGGACATCTGCAGGGACTCTTTGAGTGCTTGAAGGTCATCTTCCTCCAGGCATGTGTCAACCACATAGAGAAAGATCAGAGGGGACTGAGCACCTCGCTTTGGGCAAAGAAAAACAGTATAATGATCAATATACAAATAGACTTAACCAGCACTTTTTAAGGCAAATTCGGTATGAAAATCGTAAGTCTTCATCTATATTTAGTTTTAGGAGATAAGGACATCTACACAAAGCTCTAATTAACTCATTAAATGACTTAGATTCTATTAAATCAAACTAAACATAAAAACTATTTGTATCCAACAACTTACTCAACATTTTTTAATACTTCCTACATGCCAGACATTGTTCCAGGTCCTGGGACACACAGTGAACAGAAAGAACAAAGACTTCTACTTGCCTCAAGGAGTAAGCTTTCTGGAATGGAGAGGTTAAGGGAGACTGCAAACACCAGGAGGAGAGGCAGAGGGCAGAGTCAACTGTTCAACAGAGAAGTCAGGGCAGACTCATTTAGAAAGTAGCATGTGAGCTGGGTTCATGCCTGTAATGCCAGCACTTTGGGAGGCTAAGATGGGAGGATTGCTTAAGCCCAGGAGTTCAAGACCAGCCTGGCAACATGGCGAGACCCCGTCTCTAACAACAACAAAAAGTATAAAAATTTAAAAATTAGTTGGGCATGATGGCACATGCCTGTGGTCCCAGCTACTCGGGAGGCGGAGGCAGGAGGATCCCTTGATCCCTTGAGCCCAATTGGAGGCTGCAGTAAACTATGGTTGCGCTACTACATACCAGCCTGGGCAACAGAGCAAGACCCCATCATAAAAAAAAGAAAAAGAGGGCCGGGTGCAGTGGCTCATGCCTGTAATCCCAGCACTTTGGGAGGCCAAGGTGGGTAGATCACGAGGTCAGGAGTTCAAGACTAGCCTGGCCAACATGGTGAAACCTCGTCTCTACTAAAAATACAAAAATTAGCCAGGCATAGTGGGGTTCACCTTGTAATCCCAGCAACTTGGGAGGCTGAGGCAGGAGAATTGCTTGAACCCAGGAGGCGGAGGTTGCAGTGAGCTGAGATCATGCCACTGCACTCCAGCCTGGGCTACAGCACGAGACTCAAAAAAAAAAAAAAAAGAAAAAAGAAAAAAATGTTTGAGCAAAGCCTGAGGGAGGAGATGGAAGGAGCACTACAGATACAGGGGAGAGCTCCAGCCTCAGGGAAAAGCTAGAGCAGAGGTCCTCAAGCAGGAGTGTTAGCACATTTGAGGAGAGTCAAGGAGGCCCACTGGGCTGAACGAGGACACTAGCAGATACTGGGGTTGGAGTGGTAACATGCAGGGCTTTGAAAACTGTCTTTTACCCTGGGTTAAGGAAAGCCATTTTCACCACTGAGGTTTTCTGAACAGAGAAGTAACATGATTTGTTTTTAAAGAGTTACTCTGGCTGCTGGGTGAAGAATAATGTATAAATAGGCAATGGTAACATTAGGGAGAACAATTAGGAGATTCAAGTAAGAAGCAGTGACTGGCCCAGGGCAGTTGGCAGTAGGGAGGGGGAAGTGGGTGGATTCTGGATAAATTTCTAATACAGAGTCAATGGGATTTTCCAGTGAATTGGATATGGAACATGAAAGAGAGAGGTCAAGGATAAGTCTAAGGTTGTGAAGCTGAACAACTAGATGATGGGGTACCATCAACTGAGATGGAGAAGGCTACAGAGGACGGGTTTGGAATTTAGTCAGTTCTATCTTTTCAGTAGCCTTCTATAATATCAGGACTTGAAAACAATGCCAGTAAATGCACACACATCAAACCTAAGGGTTAGGATCCTGCCGTCCTCACAGCTTTAAGTCCTTGGCCAGGTAAGAGACATGGAAGATAAAGGATTTCAAGAGAAATTCAATATTTAACATTGCTCATTAAATGCACAACAAAGAAATTACCTGTATCATGTACTCAATTGTAGAAAATTGAGGCATCAATTCAGCAGGCTGATTCACCTCAGATATGCCTCCATAAGCCGGAGGAAACTGAAAAGAAGGAAACAATTTTATTAGGGCTGGCATATCTATATTACACTTTTGATTTTCCACGTGTAAAAATGATGCCAAGACGAGAAGAACACTGGAGCCCAGGAGCTTGAGACTAGCTTGGGCAACACCGTGAGACCCTGTCTCTATACAAGAAATAAAATAATTAGTTAGGCATGGTGGCTCGCATCTGTAGTCCCAGCTACTCGGAAGGCTGAGGTGGGAAGATCACTTGAGCCCAGGAGGTTTAGGCTGCAGTTGAGTCATGATTGCGCTACTGCACTCCAGCCTAGGAAAGAGAGCGAGACCCTGTCTCAAAAAAGAAGAAAAAAACGTTAATGACCACATATTTATTCTGAAAGCACAAAATACAGGACATGTTACAAAAATATAAAACTCAACATTTAAAATTTCTAACTCTGCCTTATATTTATATCATTTTCTATCTTCTTAAAAAAATATTTTTTAGAGCAGTTTTAAGTTATTGTTGTAACTTCCAAATGTTTAAAAACACACTTTATGTTGCCCAGGCTGGTCTTGAACTCCTGGCTTCAAGTGATTTTCTCGCCTCAGCCTCCCAAAGGGCTGGGATTACAGGCATGAGCCACCACGCCTAGTCAAAAACACACAAATGAAAACCAGTTCTTAAGTTTTGCCCTGCAAATTAAAGGTTGAGATTTCACCTATTTCATCAATAGTCAATAGTCTAAATAAAGCCAAAGACTTTATTTAGGTTTATTATTTTTGCTATTATCAATAAAGTAATACATATGCAATATAGAAAAATTGGCAAGTCCAGGAAAATAGAAGCAAACAAGGGAGGAAACCTCCCAAAATCCTATCGCCTAGAGGCAGCTACTGTCAATCTCTTGGCATATTTCCTTCCAGACTTAAGCACAGTTGAGAACATCCCATATATACAATGTGGAACTTGTTTTATCCAGTCAACATAATGCCACAGGCATTTTCTTTTGTTTTTAAAACTCTCTGCAAATGTTTTAAATTCACAGCTTGTGGGTTGGTTTATAATCCAAATAGTCTTTAGCTTTACATTAAAAACACAAGTTTAGGTCCATCTCCCCAAGTTGAGCAGATGATCACGCCAGGCCAGTGACCTCAGAGTGATCAAATGTGAGTGCTGCTGAGGAGCTGACAGGCAGCTTTAAGGGGCCTCTGGTTGGGAGAGAGGGGTACAACTGGGCATGCGAGCCCCAGCAGGAATCTCAGTCAGAGCCAGCAGAAGACTCTAGCCCCATCCTGGCCATGACTGCCCACTGGCTGCAGCTCCCAGCAGGGTAAAGCTCGATCAATGACTACAGACACACCAGCCACCTTCCAGCAACCTGGAGAGGCCCTATTCACCCACCCAGTCAGCCAGCTGCACAGAAGGGAGCAAAAGAGACCGAGATCACTCTGATCCCTCCATCTTCCAGCTCTATATTCATTTAGAGCTCGAAAACCCCCACACTGTCCAGCTAGGAAGGTTACAAAAGATTATTTCCACTTAGGACACATAGATTGGCAGATCATACTTGTAAATTGGCAGGTGACGATCTCAGGTAAGCATAATAATATCAAATACTGGCCGGGCGCGGTGGCTCAAGCCTGTAATCCCAGCACTTTGGGAGGCCGAGGCGGGTGGATCACGAGGTCAGGAGATCGAGACCATCCTGGCTAACATGGTGAAACCCCGTCTCTACTAAAAATACAAAAAACTAGCCGGGCGTGGTGGCGGGCGCCTGTAGTCTCAGCTACTTGGGAGGCTGAGGCGGGAGAATGGCGTGAACCCGGGAGGCAGAGCTTGCAGTGAGCCGAGATCACGCCACTGCACTCCAGCCTGGGAGACACAGCGAGACTCCGTCTCAAAAAAAAAAAAAAAAATAAATAAATAAAATAATAATAATAATATCAAATACTTATATGGCACTTAACCATGTGCCAAGCACTGTTCTAAGTCCTTTATACTCATTAAGTCAGTTTAATTCTCACAATAATCTCATGAAGTGACTATAGGTATACTAAACTATCATCCTAATTTTAAAGACAAGGAAATGAAGGCATAGGCAGTTAAGTGACCTGCCCAAAGTTACACAGGAAATAAGTGGGAGATCTGAGAGTCAAACCCAGGCAGTCTAGCTACAAATCTCTGGCTCTTTAGCCACTATGCTACCCTGCCTTAGAATTTTTATAATAAATTATACTAAACAGAGACATTAATCCCAAATGTAATAGAGAGCAGATATGCTTTTCAGATTTGTATAACTTCTTTTTTTTTTTTTGAGACGGAGTCTCGCTCTGTCAGCAGGCCGGAGTGCAGTGGCGCGATCTCGGCTCACTGCAAGCTCTGCCTCTTGGGTTCACGCCATTCTCCTGCCTCAGCCTCCCAAGTAGTTGGGACTAAGGCACTCGCCACTATGCCCGGCTAATTTTTTGTATTTTTAGTAGAGACGGGGTTTCACCATGTTAGCCAGGATGGTCTCGATCTCCTGACCTCGTGATCCACCCGCCTTGGCCTCCCAAAGTGCTAAGATTACAGGCGTGAGCCACCGCGCCCGGCCAAGATTTGTATATACTTCTGAATCTCTCATGAAGATACATTTTGAATGACATCTGCTTATAGTTTCTGAACCTATAGTCAGTCATCAATTGCACACTGTTCTCTTCATCACTAGACTTATGTGCTGCATCTGAGAATGAGTAATTGTAATGATGATCAAATATATGAACAAATGCATGTGAAGAGCTTAAGATCTGTTAGAACAGTGTACACTACAGTAGACACAATTTTTTTCTAACAACTTTATTAAGGTATAGTTTACAAAAAATTTCACTCGTTTTAAGTGCACAAGTCAAGTAGTTTTAGGAAATGTACAGTTGTGCAATAATTACCACAATCCAGTCTTAGAACACTTCCACTACACGTAGTTACTTTTTTTTTTCTTTTTTGAGATGGAGTCTCACCCTGTCGCCAGGCTGGAGTGCAATGGCTCAATCTCAGCTGACTGCAACCTCCACCTCCCGGGTTCAAGCAATTCTCCTGCCTCAGCCTCCCGAGCAGCTGGGATTACAGGGATGTGCCACCATGCCCAGCTAATTTTCTGGTTTTTTTTTTGAGACGGAGTCTTGCTCTGTCACCAGGCTGGAGTGCAGTGGCATGGATCTCGGCTCACTGCAACCTCCGCCTCCCAGGTTCAGGTGGATTCTCCTGCCTCGGCCTCCCAAGTAGCTTGGACTATAGGCACCCACCATGCCAGGCTAATTTTTGTATTTTTAGTAGAGAGGGGGTTTCACCATGTTGGCCGGGATGGTCTCGATCTCTTGACCTCGTGATCTACCTGCCTCGGCCTCCCAAAGTGCTGGGATTACAGGCGTAAGCCACCGCGCCTGGCCTAATTTTTGTATTTTTAGTAGAGATGGGGTTTCACCATGTTGGCCAAGATGATCTTGATCTCTTGACCTCGTGATCCACCCGCCTCAGCCTCCCAAAATGCTGGGATTACCAGCATGAGCCACCGTGCCTGGCCGCACAGTTATTTTTATAGAGAAGTCTCTCTTGTGACTTGTGAGCTCCTTCTAGTTTGGTACTTTAAAAATTTTTAAATCAAAAGAAGCTCAGCACTAATACCTGGACCCTAAAAGTTAGAAAGATCAGAAAACGAAAATTTAGTAATGTACACTATCCAATTAGAATATACCGAAGTCAAGAGAAATATGAACAACAGGTGCTTTCTTAGGGTCACAGATTCACTGCCTACAGAAAATGTGTAAAAGGGAATTCAATGAGCGCCCTGCCCCCAGTCCCAAGCAAATGACAAGGACTCAAGAAAACCATTCAACAGAATAAACCACAAATGTTCAAATTCAATATTGTGCTTACCAAAAGCTATCACCCTGAGTTCAGCAGAAACTGCTCACTGCCAGTGTAAACACAAATTCAACCTAACAACTTTTTTCATAATACAACTAAAACATATAACATATTTTGTTAAATAATTCACATACCTGATTTCTTTGAAAACAGAAATTACAGGCCCAAAGTTTTGCTCGATAATCAACCTGACTGTGAGAAAGATAAATATTGTTAGTAGGTACCACTTTTATTTTTAAGTTAGAAAGCGTTTATTTATAAATTTCAAGTTTAGTAAATCACACAAATAAATATTTCTATGTGTATGCGTAAGTAAGTACAAGTACGCAAAATGTTCACTGCAGTTAGAATTCTGGCTAAGTACACCAAAATTTCCATCAAATAGCCACAGTGAAGAAATACTAAATCTCTTTTTCTGTTTCTCGATTTCCTAATTTTTTTTTTTTTTTTTTTTTGAGACGGAGTCTCGCTCTGTCGCCCAGGCTGGAGTGCAGTGGCACCATCTCGGCTCACTGCAAGCTCCGCCTGCCGGGTTCACGCCATTCTCCTGTCTCAGCCTCCCGAGTAGCTGGGACTACAGGTGCCCGCCACCTCGCCCGGCTAGTTTTTTGTATTTTTTAGTAGAGACGGGGTTTCACCGTGTTAGCCAGGATGGTCTCAATCTCCTGACCTCGTGATCCGCCCGTCTCGGCCTCCCAAAGTGCTGGGATTACAGGCTTGAGCCACCGCGCCCGGCCGATTTCCTAATTTTTTAAATGTCATGATTTATATAAATTATAGGTTATTTCCCTTTTGCCTTTTATCTTAACATACTCTTCATGATTTTTTTCTAACATCTTTATTGTCCAGCTACGTGAAACTACTAAATCCCAACATTAAGAGCATATTTCACACACAGGAAAATGTTTCTAGATTTTAACCTGACTTAGACCACTTGAAGAAAAGTTGGGCAAGCACATTTCACTTCCTCGAACTGGTTCAAGATAACGCTTCAGGTACTTTTCCCCTTCTTTCTACATGGAGAAAATTAATAACCAGTGGCTACGATTTTACATCAGAGCAGCACTCATATATGGGCACATTAAATAAAAGCAATGGGAATGAAGTAAAAAATGTTCCCTCATATAAAAATGTTACGACACTCTCCACCTGTTTAAAAATCATTTCAAATAATGTCCACATTTAAAAGAAATAGGTCACTATATCAGGGACACACACACAAAAATTACACTTAACAAATTGTTAAGAGCTAAAATTTCCGGCCGGGCGCGGTGGCTCAAGCCTGTAATCCCAGCACTTTGGGAGGCCGAGACGGGCGGATCACGAGGTCAGAAGATCGAGACCACGGTGACACGGTGAAACCCCGTCTCTACTAAAAAAAATACAAAAACTTAGCCGGGCGAGGTGGCGGGCGCCTGTAGTCCCAGCTACTCGGGAGGCTGAGGCAGGAGAATGGCGTAAACCCGGGAGGCGGAGCTTGCAGTGAGCTGAGATCCGGCCAGTGCACTCCAGCCTGGGCTACAGAGCGAGACTCCGTCTCAAAAAAAAAAAAAAAAAAAAAAAAAAAAAAAAAAAAAAAGAGCTAAAATTTCTTCTGCCTGCTACTTCTCCCTGCCATATGGCATCCCTGTACCAGGGAAGCATGACAAGACAGTCTAAGCTTTTGAATTCTTTTGGGAAATTAAGAGGAATCAATAAAGTCTATAGTTAAGCCAAAAGCAAACTGATTATCAGCATAAAAAAAAAAAAAGTGAATTACAAATCCTCTCCCTCTACCTCATTCCTGTAAGATTCCAATTTTATCTGGAATTATCAGGCCAGGGAGATGTCTACAAATATTCACCACTTACTACTCACCACAAGAATCATTAAGAGTTTCACTACTGCTCATCACAAATTTGATGACTTGCCCAAATTTAATGATTTTTATGAGCATCACATAAAAGTCATAATATATTGTATTTATCATTTTTACCAGTTTCAAAAGAATCCATACCAAAGTGGGTTGAGAACAGCTTTACAAGTTGGCCTGCTGCAAAGCACAGGTTCATATTGTACAGGAGGTAGGTCTGGACGTTCTTTCAAAGGAGTAAGGAGACAAGCCAGGGGTACAACCATTCTTGTAGCCTCCAGCCGGCTGGAAGGCCACACATTCCAGCTAAAACGCACACCATCCCGTTCTTCATTCTGCTGGATGAACTCCAGGTATGTCGCCATAGTCTAAAAGGGAACTGAAGATAAAACGTTAATAACCTTAATGGTATGTGAAATTCTGAACTAAATGTCAAAAAAAGAAGATGGGCCACGTAACACAGTGTTACAGTGCTTCTTTTTTTTTTAATCCCAGCTTGGTCACTGCAGCCTCCACCTCCCAGGTTCAACCAATTCTCCTGCCTCAGCCTCCCAATTAGCTGGGATTACAGGCATGTGCCACCATGGCCAGCTAATTTTTTGTATTTTTAATAGAGGCGGGAATTCACCATGTTGGCCAGGCTGGTCTCAAACTCCTGACCTCAGGTGATCCACCCACCTCAGTCTTCCAAAGTGCTGGGATTACAGGCGTGAGCCACTGTGCCTGGCCCATCTAACACAGTGTTTCTTAAATACTCTGGAAGAAACTGTTGCTGTAGAGTGACAGCATTTTTTTTCCTTCTGATACCCAAAAGTTGGTTAACCACACAGTTATTGCTGACCACTGCTCCTTTCTCAACTCTCAAGCACTTAAAAATCAATCAGTGGGAGGTTTACAATCACCTGATCATCTCCAAACTACATGTAGTTAAATACTATGACTTCAAACCTCCTCACAGATCACACATCCTATCAGTGAAGCCAATTTTAGCCCCTCGCTCAAGGGTAAATCTTGAACCCTGTTCAGCACCCAGCTATCTTCCTCTCTAATCTCCTTCCTTTCCTTCTCTATTAAATTTTACATTCCAAGTGATTTTTTTTTCGGTAGCGGGGCGGAGTGCTTGTTCCCTTCCGTACTTGGTTAACTTTGGAGAAATGAGCTGGATACTGATCTTCAAGTTTAGTTCATAATGGGAACCAGTTTTGAGCTAAATTATTTCTACTTGGTATTACCAAAATTACTATTATGCTGAGTCTCACCAGAACCTCTTTCCTCGCCACGGTTGCTTACGTTCATGCCTTGAAAGGATGTGGTCAAGGCCAGGCGCCGTAGCTCATGCCTATAATCACAGCACTTTGGGAGGCCAAGACGGGTGGATCACGAGGTCAGGAGTTCAAAACCAGCCTGGCCAACACAGTGAAGCCCCATCTCTACTAAAAATACAAAAACCAGTCAGGTGTGGTAGCACGTGCCTGCAGTCCCAGCTACTCGGGAGGCAGAGGCAGGAGAATTGTCTGAATTCGGGAGGCGGAGGTAGCAGTGAGGCGAGACGGTGCCATTGCATAGCCTGGGCGACAGAGCCAGACTCTGTTTCAAAAAAATAAAAATAAAAAAGACTGTGGTCAATAAAACTGTCTTACAGGCTGAACTCTCAAACCCAGATGATCCCAACTTCATTGAGTGTTTATACATCCTGTTCATATCCTAAAATCTAGGGTAACACACAACTCAGCTATTGGGGCTCAAGGGAACAAGCCCCTCAAGAAAAGTAGTAAAACGGCAAAACAAAGAGTTTATCATATTAAAGTGGCCTCTCGCACCCACTTCCTTCAATGTGGATAACAACCATCTCTGTTATTTTGGGAAGTACCAAACTGTAAATAATTTTGATCAAGGCAATAACATTGCATGGCTAGAAAAGCAAATGAATTAGTCTACTACATGGAGCCCAGAACACAAGAATTCCAGTGTTTGCTCCAACTGAAACTCTAAGAAATCTATTTGCTATTTCTAGCAACGGCAAGAACCTGAAGCACTGTGTCAGCACTCTGGAGCTTCATGGGAAGCAAAGGGATAACTGAAGTCGGAATGAAAGCAAGTTCTAATATCACAACTCTCAGCAAGTGTGTCAGCAGGTTTCATTAAATAACCGTCTCTCTCTCAAAACGTTCTTTATTAAAAGGTACTGGCCGCCAGGCGCAGTGGCTCATGCCTGTAATCCCAGCACTTTGGGAGACCGAGGCCTGTGGATCACCTGAGGTCTGGAATTCAAGACCAGCCTGGCCAACAAGGCAAAACCCCGTCTCTATTAAAAATACAAAAATTAGTTGGGCGTGGTGGCAGGCGCCTGTAATCCCAGCTACTCGGGAGGCTGCGGCAAGGAAGATTGCTTGACCTCGGGAGGCAGAGAGGTTGCAGTGAGCCGAGATCGCCCCACTGCACTCCAGCCTCCGCGAAAAAAAGAAACTACTGGCTCCATCTAATGGTTTCCAAGTACGTACAGCCTAAGACCTGCCGCTCCCTCCTTTTCTCACTGCCTGTTTCCCTCACCCTTCTAGGGTCTGGATTCTGAGCACTGGACACACAATCCAAGGGGACTACAGAAGGTCCACGAATCCTCTGAAGTTATGCGCATGAGGGAATGTGCCTTTCTTCTAGGGAGATGGGTCCACAGCTTTTAACAAAGTATCAACGGGGAAGGTATCTGAAGAGTTAAATAACCGAAAGTATGAATTAGTGAATGAATGAAAGGCCTGGAAAGATAACAGGAGAATACGCCAAAAAATCTGAACCACGCTTATCTCGCCAACTCGTAACTTCTCAGGACACAGCGACCATGTGTATACAAGAATAAATGAGGTTTAATCCTTGAAGGGAGTCCAAGGACCTGGGTTCCAGTTCCAGCTGTCATGAAGCAAAAGTCGTTTCACTTGTCTAAGTCTTGAGTTTCTCAACTATAAAACAGGGGTTGGGTCCTTCCAGCTGTGCGCACCCCGCAATTCTGGGGAACCTGGGGCCAGAAATCGGTGCCAGCCTGGTGGGGGATGACACCCTCAGGGGACTCCTGGATCATCGATTCCCCCCGCTACCCCAAACTGTCAAGAAAAGGCCTCATCCCAGAAGCCGCCCACCTTCGCCCCCGGCAGAAACTCATACCCGTGCGCTCGGACCTCCGTCACCTGGGCGCCGCGCTCACCTGGCCGGAACCGCTCACCTAGCTAGAGCCGTCCTCACCCACAGCTGCAACAGCCAGGCCCCGGCTCCCACCGCCAAGTCCAGCTCAGCTCTCAACCGATTGGCCAGCGCCCCAGCGCGTCATGCCACGACGCTATCCACTGGCCAATCAAAGAGCGCTTCTCCAACGGACTGGCGGAAGAGAGAGACTCAGAGAAGCCCTGCCACCATCTTGGAACAGGGCAAGACAAGTGTGTATCGCACTTCAAAACCACAGTTCCTCGGAACACGTTTCCACACCCCTAAACGTTTCTGTTTCAGAAAACCCCGGCGCCTGCCGCACCGTGGCCTAAGCGCAGCTAGCGCTCCTCAGAGGTTCGCCCTGATACAACATAACATCCGCCCGTCTCAGTGGGAAGTCCCGCTGATCGCCTTAGCTACCGGAAAGCGAGAACGATGACGTATGCTCGCGGAACAGGGAGCTGTACGGGTTGGAAGAAACTAAGGCTGCCGGAAGAAGGCGTCAGCGGGCGGAAGGGGCAGGGCAGAGGGGCGTGGCGGGTGGTGTGCGTGGCGGGGCTTAGGCGCTTGCTGGTTTTGGGAGTCGGTCTCTGTGGCCAGTTGAATTTGAAGTACAGCGGTGTGGTGGTGGTTCACGTTACAAGCTCTCCTCCCTCCTTGCTGCAATGTCTTGGCGCTCTCAGCGAGTCCCTATCATTCTTCTACATGGAGATGAATAATTGAGAACTGTAATATTCAAGCATTTTAAGAGAGTAAGCTTATAACTACATAGAACATAACTTCCTTTTTAAAAATAATTCGAACGTTTAGATTCAGGGGGTACACTGCATATTTGTTACCTGGCTATGAGGTTTCGGATTCGAACGATCTGGTCACCCAGATACTGAGCATAGTACTCAATTTTTTCGGCCCCTCCTACCCTCCCTCGCCACTCTAGTAGTCCCTGGCGTCTATTAATGTCATCTTTGCGTCCATGTGTGCCCACTACTTAGCTCCCACTTACAATTGAGAACATGTATTTGGTTTTTGTCATGCGCATCTGTGTGAAGAGACCACCAAACAGGCTTTGTGTGAGCAACATGGCTGTTTATTTCGCCTGGGTGCAGGTGGGCTGAGTCCGAAGAGTCAGCAAAGGGAGATAAGGGTGGGGCCCTTTTATAGGATTTGGGTAGGTAAAGGAAAATTACAGTCAAAGGGGTGTTGTTCTCTGGCGGCAGGAGTAGGGGTCACAAAGTGCTCAGTGGAGGAGCTTTTTGAGCCAGGATGAGCCAGGAAAAGGAATTTCACAAGATAATGTCATCACTTAAGGCAAGGACCGGCCATTTTCACTTCTTTTGTGGTGAAATGTCATCAGTTAAGGTGGGGCAGGGCATTTGCACTTCTTTTGTGATTCTTCAGTTACTTCAGGCCATCTGGGCAAATACGTGCAAGTCACAGGGGTTGCAATGGCTTGGCTTGGGCTCAGAGGCCTGACAGTTTTCTGTTTCTGCATTCTTTTAGGATTATGGCCTCCAGGTATCCATGTTGCATCCAAGTTGCTGCAGGCATCCATGTTGCTGCAAAAGGCATGATAGAACACAACTTTATACAGCCACCACAACCGTTTTTACACACTGCCAAGTGGCAAACATGAAGACATTCATTACTGTGACTCAACTGTTTTAATTTAATTTAATGTAACTTAATTTAGGAGAGCTAAGTAATTAAACATGAGGCCAAAGTACATAAGAAAGTGGCAGTCTTTTATTGCAAATATGCATACACTCTCGGAGGAGGTTCTCTGGTCCTCAGGTGTGGGGGGCCAGGGAAGTCGCACCGGCGCTCTCGGGTGATGTTCTCCGGTCCACAAATGCGGGGGCCGAAGAAGTCACGCCGGCTCCTACCGGCAGCGGACTTTTATGCCTGGGAGCTGGAAGGGGAGGAGTTTGGGGCATTTGTGTAGGAGTGGCTTCTTGAATTTCGGTGTCCCCAGCTTGACATCATTCTGCGCATGCTCAGTTGATTTGGTTCTTTTCCCGGGCGCGGGAAAATCTGTGATGAAGAACCCGGAAACAACAGGGACTGCTCCATCTTGTTCACCTTCCTCCATCTTGTTCCTTTTCCTTCACCCAAACACTCTGCAGCATATAAAAATAAGCAAAACGATGTAGACATAAAATTATGCAAGAACATATCTAGGCATCCAAGAAGTATCCATTAATTGGCTCAATTTAATACTAAGTTTTAAGTTATGTACAGATCATAGAAATTATTAATAGTTTAAGGCACACAGAAACAATTACTGTTAAATGTGAAGATGATTCAGTTTTGTTGAACATATTTACATTTTTCAGGATCTTAAACATGTAATGTTAATATTAGCTTATCAATAGTAAATTTTTATACATTTAGGAAGTTCAGATTATTCTCTCTGTAAGGAAACAAACTCAAGTAAAATGTACACATGTATAATACTTAACACTGAGAGAAGACATAGCTGGGATTTTTTTTTTTTTTTGAGACGGAGTCTCGCTCTGTCGCCCAGGCTGGAGTTCAGTGGCACCATCTCGGCTAACTGCAAGCTCCGCCTGCCGGGTTCACGCCATTCTCCTGCCTCAGCCTCCCGAGTAGCTGGGACTACAGGCGCCTGCCACCTCGCCCGGCTAGTTTTTTGTATTTTTTAGTAGAGACGGGGTTTCATCGTGTTAGCCAGGATGGTCTCGATCTCCTGACCTCGTGATCCGCCCGTCTCGGCCTCCCAAAGTGCTGGGATTACAGGCTTGAGCCACCGCGCCTGGCAGCTGGGATTTTTTTTAACCAAAAATTAAAATAATATTATTTGCCAAAGATTTGCCTTGATTATTTGAACTTGGATTCTTTCTGCACTAGCAATTTCTGTAAGGATTGTTATAGGACCATCAGGTTCGATTGCCCATTGTGCGGTAACAGAAAGAATAGGAGTTGCAGCAGATAAAGAGTTCCATAATCAAGTGGCAGCCAAATGAGGAGACAAGAGGAATCCTCAAATCTACCTCCCCAAGAGATTAGAGATGGCATTTTTAAGAAGTCTGGAGGGTCAATGGGCTCAAGTGTGGGGATTTCTGATTGTTCAGGAAGTGAGAGGTGAAGTCAGGGGACAGGGAGATGAAGAAACTTCATTCCAGTATTGTTCCTTGGTGGAGGTCTTTATTTATTAAAAAAAAATTGTTTTTGTAAAGCCGGGTCTCACTTTGTTGCCCAGGCTAGTCTCAAACTCCTGACTTCAGGCGATCATCCCGCCTTGGTCTCCCAAAGTGCTGAGATTACAGGTCTGAGCCACTGTGCCCTTCCTGGTGGGGATCCCTAAACAGTTTGGCATCAGCTGTTCTGTGGGAATTCAGGATCTGAAAAACACCTTAAGCAATTCCTGGGTACGAAGATCTAGTGTCAGAGATTCTCAATCAGGGAGCAGGTGATCGGTGTGCTGCAAGGCTTTTGGTTAGTTAGCAGCTGCAGGGAAGTGAATTGAAGTGCACCAATGCACCCTGGTCAGTGCCTAACTAACCTGCCTAAAGCCTGACTTGTAATCTTGTTAACCCTGTGAGGATGGTTTCAGCATTTTAAAGAAATTTTGCATGCATAAACTATTAGAAGATTAATTTACTTATTTTCTGGAATTTTAGGAATAGTTGCTTTACATGTGTTTATTTCCATAAGTGAATTATAACAGAGCTCCTTTAAGACATGAAATAATCTAACTTATTAAAACTTTACAAAGGTAGCAAGATATTTTTTACTCCCACAACAAGAGGGGAAGGCCTTTGTTGATTACAGCCGTGAAAACACATAGACACATAGCATACAGCTTTGGTTCTACAACTTAGGCCACAGGTCAAAATAAATTCAGAAACATAAAAATTCAGTGGACTAGATAACAAAAAGCTGTTCTCCTTCCCAGTGGGCATGGAAGTCTTAACTGATTTGAACTCATAAATAGACAAAAAGGCAAACAAACAAAGAGACTAACCAGATTTTTCGTCATCTCTTATCCAAAAGAGAATAGATCTCTAAAAACTATTAATTCACTTAAAGAGATCACCAGATGTTCAGAACTGAAAACCTAGTTCCTTTTTTTTTTTTTTTTTTTTCCGAATGAGGCAATATATTAACCCAACATGGTTTGTTCTAATGCTTCTTGTTGGCAGCTGCCACCTGTCCGGCAATTCTGTCCAGATCTCTCTGTCCCTGAGGTGTCAGTTTGCGGTCCCCATCTTGGTCCTTTTCCACCATTTTCAGCCCTTCCAGGGCTTGGAGGACCTGGCGGAGGACGCTGTTGAAGCCTCGGCTGAAGTGGCTGGGGATGATGCCGTTTCTCTGACGTCCCCCGTAGATCTTGGTCATGGAGCCAACCCCAGCGCCACCACGGAGGTACAGGTGCCGCGCTGTGGAACCAGCTCCTGTGTAGAACCAGTTCTCAACGTAGGGAGCAAGCTCTTTGTGCTTGGCCAGCTTGACGGTGTCCACCCATTCAGGGACTTTCAGCTTCCCGGACTTTTTGAGAAAGGCTGCCAGAGCTCTGACGACTTCCCGCTGGTTCACGTCTTTTAGAGGAACTCCAGGCATCATGCGGCTTCCGCTCTGCCAGCCAGAGGAAAGGGAGCGACGGGGTTTCCCGCAAGTTCCTAACTGTTGTTGCCATTCATGGGGAAAAATCCACCAGCTGTGGGCGAATCACAAACAAAACCCAAAATCAGTAAGGAGGAGAAAGAAACGTAGGGAGAAAGTCAGCAATGCTGTAGTACTATTGCTATTTGGTGTTCACTCTGGGAGCCAGGAAAAAGCGTCCTTGGACTTAGAGCCCCATGGGGTGTTCTTCAGTAATGTGGTTTACCTGGTTCTGTCAGGTGAATCCATTGGGATGTTGGTGAAAGCTTCAAAACTGTTAAAGTGTTTCAAAAGGTAAAATTATGGCCTTCATGCAAATATAAAATGAACATGTTCCAGAGATCTTACTTAACTCATTCATTGACTTTATTTAATCCCTACAACCAGGAGGGATGTTCAAACTGGTTCCAAGACGAATTTGGTTTATAGTGACATATTTTCTATCACACAAAATAATGATTTGTATTGCTGTGGCCAGGAATAGTTTACACTGTTATGGGCAGGGAACATTTGCATTACTACCTTCTGTAAGTTAATTTCTATCTCCAGAGAGTTGTAAAATAGCATACTCAAAGGCAGAGGTACATGGCCCCTACAGCAAATGACCCAGAGTTGTTTTGTTTTTTTTTGTTTTTTGTTTTTGTTTTTTGTTTTTTTTGTTGTTTTGAGACGGAGTCTCGCTCTGCCGCCAGGCTGGAGTGCAGTGGTGCAATCTCAGTTCACTGCAACCTCCACATCTCGGCTTCAAGCGATACTCCTGCCTCAGCCTCCCGAGTAGCTGGGACTATAGGCGTGCAACCATGCCCAGCTAATTTTTGTAATTTTAGTACAGACAGGGTTTCACCATGTTGGCCAGGATGGTCTCGATCTCTTGACTTCGTGATCCGCCTGCCTCAGCCTCCCAAAGTGCTGGGATTACAGGCAAGAGCCACCATGCCCAGCCCCCAGAGAGTCTTTTAAAAGTGCACAGCATTCCATGGAAAGTCCACCCAGTAACCTCTTTTGACTATTGCAAAATCTTTCATAATTTTTCTGACATATTATCATCATCTATAGCCTGACTCTAAATTCTTTTATTTATTTATTTATTTATTTATTTATTTATTTATTATTATTTTGAGATGGAGTCTCACTCTGTCGCCCAGGCTGGAGTGCAGTGGTGCAATCTTGGCTCACTGCAACCTCCCTCTCTTGGGTTCAAGCAATTCTCCCATCTCAGTCTCCTGAGTGGCTGGGATTACAGGTGCCCGCCACCACACCCGGCTAATTTTTGTGTTTTTAGTAGGGGTTTCGCCATGTTGGCCAGGCTGGTGTCAAACTCCTGACCTCAGGTGATCTGCCCACCTTGGCCTCCCAAAGTGCTGGCATTACAGGTGTGAGCCACCACGCTCGGCCTAAATTCTGTATTTCTGGGTCAGACTTTTCTACCTAACATTCAGATTCATATATTCAGCAACCTGCTGGGTTCTGCAAAGCGTGTTTAGTGTGCACTGGTTACCAATTCAGTTCACTGCATCTTGGACTGTACTTCTACTACCTGCCCGAGCCTGGTGAGCCAGAACGCTCACATACACAAGTTACATGAAGTGGATTTATTATTCACAGAGAAGCAGCAAGGGACAGCAGAAGCCTAGGATTTATGATGAGCTGGTCTCTCAAGACTCAGGAAAGCCGCACAGTGCAGATCGAGTCTCGTCTGTGCATGTCCACTTGTACTCCAGCTGGGAAAAGCTGTAAAAGCATGGAAGGACATTTTGTTTTTGGGGAGGCTAGAACAGAGCCTGGGCTGTTCTGGCTATTTCTTCCTTATCTCAGAATATTATATTCCCAGCACATCGGAATTATTCTTCAGAACTACAAGCAAGAAAGTGGGGAGAACTGGGCCAGTCCAAGGCCATCTGGAGAAATATCCTGCAGACATCGCTGGGTATTCTTGCACATCTCGATCTTAATATGTCCTAAACTGTCCATCATTTCCCTGGCTCCCAGTGAATCTTCTGCCTCTTGTACTTTGTTTCACTTGAAGATGCCATTCTTTTCCCAGTTAGTGAGTCTAGAAAGTAGGAAGTTATCCTTGGCTCTTCCTTATTTCTAACCCCTCCACCTCGAAGGTGACACTGAATCACTTGGTCTTGTTAATTTGTTACTCTAAATATTTCTCAATTTCATCTACTTGCTTAGTTCAGGCACTCATCCTCTGATTGGATTACTGCAACAGTCTCTCAAATGATTGCTTTGCCTAAATTTGCCAGATCCAAAAATCACACTGGTTGCTGGATAGATTTCTCTAAATCACACATCTGACCCTACTATTCTCTTGCTTAAAACCCTACATAGTTTTTCTATCACTCACAGTAATGAACGACTGTCCTTCCCAGCCCACATGTACTGTTCATCGTTTCGGTGCCCATTTGCATGCCTTCCTCTCTGCCAAGAACAGCCACTTCACCCCCACTTTCTTTCCCAGGAGCTCCCATGTGTTCTTCAAGACTTTGAAGAAGGCTTCCATTGACCTCCTTTCTCCTCAAGGTGGCAAAACCAAAAATCAAACAAACAAGTAAACAAAAGCAGTGGCAGAAAGGAAAAGTAACCACAGAAGAGAGGAGAATAGGTTTAGACGTGACTTTGAAGACTTAGAGACAAACTTCCCACAGAAAAGATCCTGACCTGAAAAGAAAAATCCAGGCAGAGGGAAGATTATTCAGCAGGAGCGCCTTAGTGGAGGATGAATGATCCCTTTAGAAAGAGTGAAACTGTCTCAGCAAGTTCTTGAGAATAACTTCTTCAATATTAGCAAATGAGGTACCAAATATAAAGGTACATTTTCAGAGTTTTAAAAATTCACAAAAATATTGGCTTTCAGCTTTGAAACCAAAGCTATTTCTTCTATGATAATGATAAACTCAGAAATTGTTTGTACAAGAGATAAAAAGTAGAAAACAAAATGGATGTATGTAATTATAATCTTCTCAGTTATTATCGGCATAAACAACCTAAGATGAGAGTTAATGTCACTGCCTTTTTTCTCCTTCTAGAAGAAAGAGGTAATAAATCTTCAGGAAAGCTAGATTGCTAGATCCTTTTTCAACCCCCAGTTCCTGATTAGGGAGTATCATTGTTTCTCGAACTAAAAACTACTAAGCAAACAATTAGTTGGTTACAGGAATGTCTCTGCTTGTTTTATGTTGAAATTGTATTCCTATGGTTTTTTTTTTTTTTTTTTTTTTTTTGAGGCATAGTCTCACTGTGTCACCCACGCTAGAGTGCAGTGGCATGATCATAGCTCACTGCAGCCTCCCATGCTCAAGCGATCATTCTACCTTAGCCTGGTGAGTAGCTGGGACTACGGGTGTACACCACCATGCCTGGCTAATTTTAAAAATTTCTGAAGACATGAGTTTTGCCATGTTGCCCAGGCTAGTCTCAAACTCCTGGGCTCAAGGAGTCCTCCTGCTTTAGCCTCCCAGAGTTCTGGGATTACTATTTTTAAATTTGAAAGAACTATATTAAGGTATAATTGATGTACCTTAAGCTGCACATATTTAAAATGTACAATTTGTTAAGTTTTGACACCCATCACCACAATCGAGATAATTAACATATATATCACCCCCAAAAGTTTCCTCATGACCCTTTGTTAATGGTGGAGGGTGTCCAGTTTCTTGGCGTCTTGAACAAACAATTGGACAAAACGCACAAAGAAAGGAAGGAATGAAGAGTTTCATTGAAAATGAAAGTACAGTCTACATTATGGGAGCGCGCCTGAGCATAAGGGCTCAAAGTCCCCATTATAGAATTTTTGGGCGTTTAAATACCCTCTACTTGGGGTACACCCTATGTAAATGAAGAGGATGAAGTAACGTTAATTCATTTACATGGCCTACGCCATGTGGAGAGGATATTTCCTGTCATAACTGAAGTGTGAATTGGCCTTCTGTTCCCTGCCTCCAGACCCTATTGTCCTGCCTCATCTCCCCCTTGAGAGATGTGATCCCCATAAATCTCCAAAGGAGGCAGAGGGACTCATGGTCTTTTTTCTGTAACTGCTTCATGCTGGCTTGGGGGGGGTGTAGTCCCTACCTATTGGTGATCACGGAACTCGCCCTGCTCTATCTAGTGGAGGCAGGGTAGTTTCTTGACGGCTAGGGGTGGTGTCTTCACCTGCAACTGGATGGAACCTTTGTTGCATGATCATCTGAAGCTTGATGGTCTCTAGACGAGAGGAAATTAATTTGGTTAAAAGATTTAATGGGGATTTTAGGGGGTGGATACTTACGCTGTCGGAGATGTTTGTTATAGAGACTTGCAGAAGAAAAAACAAAACCTAGTCTGTTCTAGAATTTATGTTTCCTTGAAGTCTAAGCACAAGCAACTCCATTTTGGTTTGGTTTGGTTTGTTGGGGCCTAGTGCATGAGCTTAGTCCAAAACAATGGCCTCCCAAAATTTTGTGGAAAAAATTCCCCCTTTTTGGTCAGGTTCTCACTTAGGTGAGAGTGTGACCAAAACTTAGGGCCTTAGCGCCACTCTCAGTTACCATCATTTTGGGTTTCTGGTCTCAGCACATCATTTATAGGTTTTGGTGTTCTCGTGTTGCACATTTCTTTCAGCTTTTGTCATTCCAGTTGAAGAAAGAACATCTGATGTTCTAGAGATGGCTGCACGCAAACATTTAAAACCTTTGAGAGAATACAGCGCACCAGGGAGACTATTATTATAACTGTTGGGAGGATAACACCAAGAGTTCAGAGTATGCTCCTAAACCAAAGGCCCCCATAAACCAAACTTCCTAAAATCAAATGAGCTAAAGAGTTTACTCACTTGACTAAGCAATTTCTTCATTAATCCCCTACCACTGAATTTCTTTTTTTTTCTTTTCTCCTTTTTTTTTTTTTTTTTTTTTGAGATGGAGTCTTGCTCTGTCGCTCAGGTTGGAGTGCAATGGGACGGTCTCAGTTCACTGCAACCTCTGCCTCCTGGTTCAAGCGATTCTCCTGCCTCAGCTTCCTGAGTAGCTGGGATTACAGGCACCCACCACCATGCCCAGCTAGTTTTTGTATTTTTAGTAGAGACGGGGTTTCGCCATTTGGCCAGACTGGTGTCAAACTCCTGACCTCAGGTGATCTGCCTGCCTCGGACTCCTAAAGTACTGGGATTACAAGCGTGAGCCACCGTGCCCAGCCAATGAGGGATACATTTCTAATCATTGCTTCTTTTACTTCAAACCATGGTAAAAGGACCTAACAAATGATGCCTTTCTAGAAGAGTGAAGGCCTCCTGGCAATGTTTTCTTTAACCCATGATGTGGGTTAGAGGAGTCAACCAATGTTTTGTTTTTGACTGATTATGAAGCAACGCATGTACCATTAAAGTTTCTTACCTACATTGGGCCTTCATCTTTTATCTATCAAAGTATAAAGTTATCCATGTATAAGGCTGGCTTCAAACTCCTTCACAAATAAAACTATATCCCATAAGTGCATGTAACAGACCCCTTTTCCACTTCTACTGTTTGTAGAGGCATAAGCAAAAAAAAAAAAAAAAAAAATCAAAGATGAGAGTTCTATGATAGTAGAAGTCTTAAGCTGTGAACTTGGGAAAAGCTGTTCACATCAAGGATGCCATTTTCTTCTTGGGAGAAATTTCCCAGGGTAGCTTTACCTCAAAAGTTCCAATGCATGCACAGTTCCAAAAGTGTGGAGGGACGCTTCTCAGTTGCCAGACCATGAACCCAAAGTCCAAGGTCCTGAAGTTTTGTTGTAGTGTGGATGACAAGGACAGTCTTCTCCATGTTTCCAGAAAATTCAAACCATACAAAGCTTTCTTTACCTGGTTAAAATACACTGTAGCATAATAATCTACTGTTATAACATCAGCCCCTTGCATGGGAAAGCTTTTATACAACCAGAATGACAAATTGGAATTCAAATAACAATTAAATGAAATCCTTTACAAAATGTTTAAATGGCCCACCAGGTGACCAAATGTACATGAAGCTTTAATTGTCTTCCCAGGAATATGAGACTAAACATTGGTTATAAACTATTTTAAACAATTTTAGTATCAGCTGGTTTAATATGAAAATCTGATGAAGTATTTTCTTGGTATTTAATTAAATTTTTTTTTTTTTTTTTTTTTTTTACTTGGGTTGGTAGCTTTACACAAGGAAACTTCATTCAAAGCAATGAAAAACAACAACCAGGGCTGATATTGAGTACTAAAAATTGTTTTAAAATCAGAAGGAAAAATAATATGGATTTCAGGCGTTCCCAAGTTATAAATGGGTTTTCTGCATGTTTGAAACCAAAAACAAACTTTCCTATAGAAATATCAGTAAATCTAGCAAAGAAATAACACACCCCAAGCATGTCATAGCCTGTCTTAAATAAGGGGAAAACATGAGAGCACTAGTAAGAGGCAAGTAAACGGTGCTTTGCTTTACAATTGAGGGAACCTCGAAGGCTCTGTTCTTGGCTGCCCCACGCAGGCAGGCAGCGGAAGGCAGGCCAAGGAGGAAAGAGCCCGGCCTCCCGGGTCCCCGCAACTACAACTCCCAGGATGCCGCGGAGCAGGCTCCCGGCCGGTGCAGGCTGGGCTCAGCTCTGTTGGACCCGCGCTGAGGGGACTCTGGCCTCGCTGCACTCATGGCTTCTCCTAGCAAGGCAGTGATTGTTCCCGGGAACGGAGGCGGGGATGTGACCACCCACGGCTGGTATGGCTGGGTGAAAAAGGAGCTGGAGAAGGTAAGCGCCCAATGCCTCGCTGCTCGGTGAAGTCAGCCTGCAGCGAGGGACGGCGGGAGGGGACTGAGAGCTGAAGTTTGAACATGCGTCTAATCCCCTCCAGGAAAGCCCTGTGTGTTTTCCTTCCTCTCCCCCGCTGCCTTCTCTTAAACTCTAGAGCTAGTGGTCGAATTTTGGTTGGTAAAACTGCCTGGAAGACTTCTTCGAGGGCTCAGCCGTTAGAGTTGAAGGAACCCCCCCTTCTTTGAACTACCCAGGCTGAGCCCCGAGCCCCGCCCCCCGTATCTGCTGCTGGTTCAGATTTGGGACTTCCCAGATAATTTTACATCTTCACTGCTCCTCGCATCAGCTTCAAAAAAATTAAATATGCTATACTTAATATATACAAAGGATATATGTAACATGCGTCTACATTATGAGGCATAATGTAATGAATTACTAAACTAAAATCTGGGACATTGCCTATATATCGTCTTCCAAACGACCCGTATGTCTACCCATCTCAGACCCGTGCCATCCTGAAGTTTTTTCATCTGCTTCTCTTTTTAAAATTAAAGTACTTTTCAACCTATGAATATACCCTTTAAACAATAGACCGTTCAATTTGGCTTCTTGGTGAGCTTTATAAAAATGGCATCTTACTGTAGGCTGCCCTGTGCCGTTTGATTTTTATTTTTTAACCCTCTTCTGTAACCAAGGGGTAGGTCGGCTCCCTGGGTTGCCATCCTCCAGAGTAGATTGCAGGGCTGTGGCTGAAAACCCTGGTCAGAGCTACAACCCCAAAGTTCAGGGCTGGAGCTTCTGAGAGGATGCTGTCTCCACCTTTCTGTATCACGTTCCTGTGCCACGTTTTACCTACTGCCTGGCCCACGGTCTATTTGGCTCCAAGTCAGTCTGTCTAGAACATATTTGTTCATGCCCCTCTATAGATGGAGGGCTGTAGAGGCAAATATGGGTGTTCAAATGCAGATATAGGTCTCTATAGAGGTCAGCAGAGCTGCCTAGATACAGAACTACAGATGGAGTTCATGCGAAAGGATGGTCACTTAACCTACTTCATTTCATAACACAAGTTAATACTGAATTGGTAACGATCATATCAGGTGCCTCATTTCTTATTAGCAAAGTATTAGTTGTAATTAAGCTCTTTATTATAGCTTTTTCTCCCCCCTCATATCATAGATACCTGGTTTCCAGTGTTTGGCTAAAAACATGCCCGACCCAAGTAAGTTTTAAACTTGTTTTTAAAGAGCCTCATCTTGTTGGGTTTTGATATTACCATGTTTGTGGTAGAGAACAAGAATATCGTAGTGGAGAAACCAAAGATGCCGATATACCTAAGAAAGAATAAGGCAAGTAGCTTGGGGAGGAGGGTGTGAACCAAAAGCCATAGAAAATTCTAGTAAGGATCAGGAAAGCACCTGGGCATGGTAAAATTTAATTTTCAACTTTGCACCAACTTGATCTTTCCCTTCTGTAAGTCTACAAATATTTTCAGGCAGAATTTGTGGGTATTACATTTGAGGCATACGTATAAAACTTTACAGCATGTGTTTGAGATCCTAATGTTTAAACATGTCATATTGCTACTTTTGTTCTGGGTATGCCTATGACTTGTCTCAGGAATCCCCTGTTTGGAAAGAATGAATAAATGTGTGTGAATTTTAGAATGTTCCAGGAGTTTTTTTGCTTTTTTTTTTTTTTTTTCCTGAGATGGAGTCTCGCTCTGTTGCCCAGGCTGGAGTGCTGTGGCATGATCTCAACTCACTGCAACCTCTGCTTCCCAGGTTCAAGTGACTCTTCCTGCCTCCCGAGTTCAAGTCAGCCTCCCGAGTAGCTGGGATTACAGGCACGCGCCACCATGCCTGGCTAATTTTTTTTTGTATTTTTAGCAGAAATGGGGTTTCACCATTTGGTCAGGCTGTTCTTGAACTACTGATCTTCAACTGATCTGTCCACCTCTGTCTCCCAGTGCTGGGATTACAGGTGTGAGCCACTGCACCTGACCAATAGCTTTTTTTTTTTTTAAGTTTGAAAGTTTACATTAAAATTTCAGAGTTATATTTTATTATTTCCTTAGTATTTTCTTACAAGAACATGGTAAACAAAAAAAAAAAAGAGAGAGAAAAGAAAAACTATTTGTCAGAACTGTGGACTTGGGTCTTTCAAGTAGTAATACGTAAGCCTTTGGCTCTGTTAACACAGTCCTGTCTCCTGCTGAGGTCCTGCAGTTTTAAAAGTTGTGAATTGCTGAATAGTCGTCTGTTAGAAAGGTGGGGCAGCATTGGATTCAGACTGCCACTATCAAATGACAGACTTTTTCTTTACCCTGAACCTTAAGTTACAGCACGAGAGAGCATCTGGCTGCCCTTCATGGAGACAGAGCTGCACTGTGATGAGAAGACCATCATTATCGGCCACAGTTCTGGGGCCATCGCAGCCATGAGGTGCGATCTTTGTTAAACTGTATCCCCTTTGTGGGCTCCAGCCATGCTTGCTTGAGATATACCTTGTGTATATCTTAAGTTTCTGTTGCAGAGGAAACAGTGCTGACCTCTAAAGTGGTAATGTAATCTGTCCTAATTCCTTCCTGGTTTTGCTAGTGGACTGAAAAAAAAAATCTGCCCTTATTGGGATGCAGTGATCCTTTTAAAGCATAAGTGGCTGCAAACCCCAGTGGCTTCCCATCAGTCAGCTCTGATTCTGTCTCTACAGATTCTCCTTCTCTCCTCTCAGCCAGGTTTACTGACCTCATTGCGGTTCCTGGAACATGCTAAGTACACACACATCTTAGCCTGCTCTCATTCTTCTACCTGGGACACTCTGTCCCTAGACATCTGCATGGCTTTCTATTCCCCTTGAAGTCTATGCTCAAATGTCCCCTTTAGGTGAGGCCTTCTCTAATCACTCCATGTGAAACAGCTTCCTCACTCTACTGGCTCTTATCCGTTTTATATCTTATTATCTGCAGCACATTTTGTTGTTGTTGTTGTTGTTGAGACGGAGTTTCGCTCTTATTGCCCAGGCTGGAGTGCAGTGGTACCATCTCAACTCACCACAACCTCCGCCTCCCAGGTTCAAGCAGTTCTCCTGCCTCAGCTTCCCGAGTAGCGGGGATTACAGGCATTCACCACTATGCCTGGCTAATTTTGCATTTTTAGTAGACATGGGGTTTCTCCATGTTGAGGCTGGTCTCGAACTCCTGACCTCAGATGATCCACCCACCTTGGCCTCCCAAAGTGCTGGGATTACAGGCATGAGCCACCGCGCCCGGTCTATCTGCAGCACTTTTTATCATCTGACATCCGGTTTATTTCTTGTCTGTCTCCTGCCAATAGAATGTAGACTCCAGGAAGGCAGGGCTTTGTTCAGTCTGGCACTGAAACCCCATTGCCTAGAAGAGAGCCTGGCATATGGTAGATTGTGTCTGCAGTGTCACTCACCTTCGAACCCCAGTCCTTAGGTTCATGGGCACATCCCTACTGCTCATTAAGAATATTATATCTCCCCTTTTAGCCTTATAAGGCCTAGTGGGTAGCGACTTAGCTGGCTGACTAAGCTAAGTTTAGCCTATAAGGGTTGAGTTTCTTTCATATTTGCTAGGCAAAATGACAAAGGATAATAGTTTTTATTTGTCCCAAGCAGTCACTTAGGATGTCACATGAATTGCATGTCAGGGAATCTTGCCAAATTTCATAACCTTTCAGCCACACTGATTAAAGTTACAAGAGTATTTCAGGATGGAGCTACAAAATTATGGTACACTCCTAGTGTAAGGATGTTTATATGCTGCCAGGGGTTGTCTGGAAAACGAAGAGCTCCTTGTATTATTGAATTCTGTCCCAGCTCAAGGCCAACTGCATTTTTCTCAAGCCATTGATTAATAAAGATGTGCCTGCTTTTAAAGATCCTTGAACTCACTGCAGGATTATTAGCAACCTTCTAAGAATTGACTTCTAAAGTTAAGGGAGACAAGGAGAAAAATGGATGCCAAAACGATTGGGTTAAGGTTGTAGAATTTCCTATTGACACAATCATAGAGGACTACCCTACAGATGACTGTAATCATGAAAGGGAAGTTGTGCCTTTACAATGGAGAGATCACGTGGATGTCACCTTAAGCAAATGATCAAACTTAATCTCACCAATAATAGACTGGCATCATTTATCCCCTGATGTGATGGTGTGGGAAAGACATAGCATCACCTATGTAGTATCCTTGCCAGAAATGTTTACCTCAGTTTAGTTAGGAGGAAACAGACGATTCCATTTAGAGGATAATGTACAAGACAGGCCTAAACTCTTAAACATGTTAATGTCATTTAAAAGAAAAAATTTAACAGTGACTGAAGAGCCATGAAAATAAAATGCAATGCATAATCCTTGACTAGATCTAGGATTGTAGAATGTTTTAAAGGACGTTTTTGGTTCAGTTGGGGAAAACTGAATACAGATAATATTGCTGTATCAATGTGAAATTTATTGGGTGTAATAGTGGTACCATGGTTAAGGGAGTGGCCTTCTCAAGAGATACATGCTAAAATAAGGGTGAAATGTGACAAAATTAATGAATCTAGGTGGTGCTTGTTCTTTTTTTTTTTTTTTTTTTGAGATGGAGCCTCGCTCTGTTGTCCAGGCTGCAGTGCAGTGGCACAATATCAGCTCACTGCAACCTCTGCCTCCCAGGTTCAAGCAATTCTCCTGTCTCAGCCTCCCGAGTGGCTGAGACTACAAGTGCCTGCCACCACACCTGGCTAATTTTTGTATTTTTAGTAGAGAGGGGCTTCACCATATTGGTTGGGGTGGTCTTGAACTCCTGACCTCAAGTGATCTGCCTGCCTTGGCCTCCCAAAGTGCCGGGACTACAGGCATGAGCCACCATGCCCAGCCTAGGTGCTTGTTCTTTAAACGTTTCTGTAGGTTTGATATTTTTCAAAGTAAATGGGGAAAAAAGTTTAGGCTCAAGAACAAAATACCAACGCTAACTCTTTCTTGGCACAAAGGTCTCTTGAAATTATTACTACTATGTGTCTTTCCTTATCCCAGTCTTTGCTGAGGGATACTGCTGTCTGCAAATACTATAATTCTGGTTTTTACCAATAAAGGAGCCTCACTCTACTTGCTCCTATCCTCTTTATATCTTATTATCTGTAGTACTTTTCACCTAGACCTAATAAATCCTAGATCTAGTAAAGGATTATGCATGGCCTCTGACATCCTGTTTATTTCTTGTCTGTCTCCTGCTTACTTTTAATGGCAAAAACTGCAATGACTTTTGTACCAACCTAATAGTTAGCTGGGTGTCTACTTGCCAGGCACTGTAATGGGCACCAGGAACACAAAGATCAATAGGACTCATACCTGCCCTTAAGGAGCTGACAGTTTATTGAGAGAAATTTACATAAGACGACACAAATGAATAATACAAGGCAACGTGGAGTGTGTGGTACCAAAGGTACATTTCTGGTATTGTACAGTGTTTCTTAAAATACAGTTCACAGACCACTTGCATTAGAGTCATCTGGGTTGAAGGAGGGAGCATGCCTTAAAATGCAGATTCTAGGCCTTAATCCCAACTTTCTGAATCAGAGGCTCTGGGTCTGAGCCTGAGAATCTGCATGTTCGCCAACCAGGTGACATTGAGACATACTAAACGTGGGTAGATTACACATTTTTTGTTTATTGGGAAAGGTTTGCACAAGTTTGAACTACCTTGAAAAATGAGTAGGGGCTGGGCGCGGTGGCTCACACCTGTAATCCCAGCACTTTAGGAGGCCAGGGTGGGCGGATTATTTGAGGTCAGGAGTTCAAGACCAGCCTGGCCAACATGGTGAAACCCTGTCTCTACTAAAAATACAAACTTAGCTGGGCATGGTGGTGCATGCCTGTAATCCCAGCTACTCAGGAGGCTAAAACAGGAGAATTGTTTGAACCCAGGAGGTGGAGGTTGCAGTGAGTCAAGATTGTGCCACTGCACTCCAGCCTGGGTGACAGAGTGAGACTCTGTCTCAGAAAAAAAAAAAAGGAAAGAAAAATGAGTAGAAGCTCATCCAGTAGCCAGGGTTGGGCTTGTAGTTCTGCAGTTTCCTTGCTATTTTTCACATCAACCTCAACAGCAGATAGCACATGCTTTCTGTAGGCTACCACAAATGAGTTTTTAAGTAGCTTATTGACTTTTTCTTTTTTTTTTTTGAGACAGAGTCTCGCTCTGTCGCCCAGGCTGGAGTGCAGTGGCCGGATCTCAGCTCACTGCAAGCTCCGCCTCCCGGGTTTACGCCATTCTCCTGCCTCAGCCTCCCGAGTAGCTGGGACTACAGGCGCCTGCCACCGCGCCCGGCTAGTTTTTTTGTCTTTTTTAGTAGAGACGGGGTTTCACTGTGTTAGCCAGGATGGTCTCGATCTCCTGACCTCGTGATCCGCCCGTCTCGGCCTCCCAAAGTGTTGGGATTACAGGCTTGAGCCACCGCGCCCGGCCAGTTTATTGACTTTTTGGTGATCAGAGGTAACATTTATATTAGCTGACATCATTTTTCTTTCTCCAGGTATGCAGAAACACATCGAGTATATGCTATTGTATTAGTGTCTGCGTACACATCAGACTTGGGGGATGAAAATGAGCGTGCAAGTGGTAAGTCCAAAGGTAGAAATCTGAGCAAAGCCCTCTCGAGACATGGGGCTGTCTGTTCAGGTTGTAAAAACAGCGCTGTCTTTCAGATATGCCAAAACATTCTAATAGCGTAGGAGAAAGATTTACCACCTATCTTTGGATATAAGTTCACACTTTGATTTCTTCCCAAGCGGTAAGTCTAGAATTGAACCATAGAGGCCTGGTTTTAGTTGAACCATGTACCACCTCTTCATGAGTAACTGTGGTATCAAGCCCTACAGATTTGAAAACAAAAGAATTGCTGCTTCTAACTCACATGTAGGCTCTGCTCCTTTGTGTCTCTATGTGGGTCGCCAGTAGGTATTTTAGAATATCTAGAGGGAGATTATCCATGGGCACTGAAAGACTGTTTTTTTTTCCCCATAGGATACTTCACCCGCCCCTGGCAGTGGGAGAAGATCAAGGCCAACTGCCCTTACATTGTGCAGTTTGGCTCCACTGACGACCCATTCCTTCCCTGGAAGGAACAACAAGAAGTGGCCGATAGGTTGGAAACCAAATTGCACAAATTCACTGACCGTGGCCACTTTCAGAACACAGAGTTTCATGAACTGATTACTGTGGTAAAGTCTTTGCTGAAAGTACCAGCATAGACTGTATGATTTCTGCTATTTCGCATCCCAATATAGGGGTAGAATAATATCTACTATCAGCCGATTACTAGACACATAAAACATCCAGTTAAGTTCCAAAAGTGCCTGAAAAACAAACACAAGTTTCAACGTTCAATCTAAGTTACAAATAGCGTTTCCATTTTCCATAGACTCTAAAACTCCCCAAATTGCTATGAGCTACCGCAGTATTTTCCTCATTTGGTAAGAAACGTGAGGACAGCTTAACTGCCCTTCTCTAACCAAAGTAAGTCAGAAATAGCACCCAGGTTTCCTGATTCCTACTCCTGAGTAAAACGAAACAGGTTTTATGTATGTTGCAGGTGTCGCACACTTTGCCTCTTTGAAATCAAACTTTTCTATTTCACTGGGGAAAGAAAACATGACTGAAAGTCCAGAGTGTTAGCTTAGAGCTCAAAATACTAGCTGCTGTTTCATGCTGGCCCTGGACATTAAACCCAGACTAGGGACAACACCTCTGACACTTGCCCCTGAGTCCTTCAGACATGTTGAGAGAGACTGAGACAGGAGTCTTCCAGAGTCAGGAAGGAAGGAGAGGCACAGCAATATACATACATAATATACGTACAACTGACTAGCTTTGTTTGAGACAAGAGTGGTGGGATCAGGGCCGTGTGGAGAGCTCATGGCCTGTCTAAATTGTTGCCATGTGGAAATGGGGCAGAGTGTTACCAATTTTCTGATTTTTTGTGTGGAAAAAAATGTCCAAATTATGGTTTTTAAATTTGGGGACTATATATATATACACACACACACACACACACACATAAAATCCATATACATATGAGTATGTAAGTTGGCAATAAGAGTATACATCAAAAAATTTACAAACACTGCAAGACAAATAAAATCCAAGCCATCCATTTGTGACCACAGTCATAAGCATTAACTTAGCCAGGGGCTTTTAGATAATTATCTGTGAAGTCTGAGAAAAGACTAAGATAACCAAAATGAACATAATGTCAAAGGACGAAATCATGGGGACAATTTGGGTTTTGTTCCAAAGTCAAGTGTTTTTAAAAAGAACCTGTCCCTACTTCATGTTCTGTTCTATAGAGAACAGAACTTCCGTGGCCCTTTAGCGCTCTTTCAAGCACATTCCGTTTTCTTCTGATCATACTTCCTCAAAAAGCCTTTTATTTGGCTGGGTGTGGTGGCTCATGCCTGTAATCCCAGCACTATGGGAGGCCGAGGTGGGTGTATTGCTTGAGGCCAGATGTTTGAGGCCAGCCAGGGCACATAGCAAGACCCCATCTCTACAAAATATTAAAAAATCAGCTGGGCATGGTGGTGCACACCTGTAGTCCTAGCTACTTGGGAGGCTGAGGCAGGATTGCTTGAGCCCAGGAGTTTGAGCCTTCCGTGAGCTACGATCCCGTCACTGTACTCCATCCTGGGTGACAGAGCAAAGAACCTGTCTCTAAAAAAAAAAAAAAAAAAAAAAATTTAAAGAAACCTACCCTTTTTCATTTCTCAATATTTTTTGGCTATTATGATCTCTAAGTGTTACTTCAAATAATTTCCAGTGAATCCACACTTGGTGTTCCAGAGCCTGAGTTTGCTGCAGAAATATAATTTCCTATACTTCATGCCTAAAGGAGATTCAGAGCTATCACTTAAAACCAAAAGTCTTGGTTTTTAAATGTGCTTAGACAAAAAAAAAAATCAGGAAAGGTACCCTAATTGTTTAACAGCAGTTGTCTTTGGGGAATGGGCATTTTGGTAGGTACAATGTGATGGACGTCCTTCTTATTTTTTTTTTTTTTTTGAGACAGTGTCTTGCTCTGTTGCCCAGGCTGGAGTTCAGTGGCACAAATCTCAGCTCACTCTAACCTCCGCCTCCCGGGTTCAAGTGATTCTCACATCTCAGCCTCCCAAGTAGCATGAACTAAAGGCATGCGCCACCACGCCTGGCTAATTTTTGTATTTTTAGTAGAGATGGGGTTTCACCATGTTGGCTAGGCTGGTCTCGAACTCATGGCCTCAGGTTATCCACCCACCTTGGCCGCTTAAAGTGCTGGGATCACAGGCATGAGCCACCATGCCTGGCCCCTTATTTTACTTTATCTTCCTAAGAGATTATTTGAATTTGTTACACTAAACATGTATTTTATAATAAAAGATTTAAAACAATGTATTTGACTACTAAAAAGCAAATTATATAAGTCAGTTGAATAATGATGTTGTTAAAGAGGCTGTTTAGCACGAATTTGACCAAATCTGTAGTCAAAGTTTGATTCTACTTGAATTTTTTGGAAATTTGCTGTTGTGTTTCTTACTCTTTGTCTTGTTCTCTGTGAAGTCTTTTCGTAAAAAACAAACTTACACAATTTAGTTCACAAAACTTTGTTGACCTCCTGTAGAAATGAAAACTAAATATATGTAATTGAGAAATAATTCTGATACTCTTCATTCCTGTAAAAGTAATCTTAAGATAGACCTATAGGATTGTTGATCTTTGCTGCCAAATATAACCAGTAACCACAGCTAGCTGTAAAATTGAAAATTCAGTTCAATCAAAATAGCCGTATTTCAAGTACTCAGCAGCCACTGCGGGCTATTGGTTACCTTACTGACCAGCCGATATAGGCTATTTCTGTCATTATAGAAAGCTCTATTGGACAGCATTGGTCTAGGACACATATTTTATATTTTCCCCTCATCTACCATCCAATACTGAGTAATAGTTCAAAGTACAAGTGACTTAATTTGAAATGACTTATGTTTGGCTATTTCTGTATTGCTTAGCTGATCACCACCACCATCATAGGTCTATACAATTTACTAAATCGCCCAACTAAGATCAAGGGTGTTTCATGGGAAAATCCACACAAACTATTCATTAAAAACCTATCATAGAGTCATGGACTGGCATGGTTTCTGTTTGATTCTTTGTGGTTACCATTGAATATACAGGGGCCTCTGTACACTCTGGGGAGTATCTATTCTTAGGTGAGCAAAATACCGAATACTGAATGGAAATCAACTGTAAGTATTAGGACTTCATATGCAACTTGAGTTTTTGGTGCTGTCAGGAGTCTAGAGCCCCACAATTAGTTTTGGTTACGGTTTATCCCTGTAGGATAAATGATCCATTTAACTGTTCATCAGAGGTGCTGTATTTTTAAATAGTCTCTTATCTCCTAAAGTTAATTTTCAGAATTAAAAACATGCCATGAGAAAAAAGTTTGCAGGTTCTCTTTATTGGTGAGGTAAGGAATACTTTTGTTTTGCACATTGAATGTTAAGCTCTAAAAACCAATCTTTAGCTATAGAGACATAAGACAAAGCCTATATTTAAAACATAAGCTGGCCGGGCGCAGTGGCTCACGCCTGTAATCCCAGCACTTTGGGAGGCCGAGGCGGGCGGATCACAAGGTCAGGAGATCGAGACCATGGTGAAACCCCGTCTCTACTAAAAATAGAAAAAAATTAGCCGGGCGCAGTGGCGGGCGCCTGTAGTCCCAGCTACTCGGGAGGCTGAGGCAGGAGAATGGCGTGAACCCGGGAGGCGGAGCTTGCAGTGAGCCGAGATTGCGCCACTGCACTCCAGCCTGGGCGACAGAGCAAGACTCCGTCTCAAAAAAAAAAAAAAAAAAAAAAACCATAAGCTGGTTTCTTCTCATTTCTAGCTCTCTTCCAAGTTCATTTTTCTTACTATATAAAACTAGTGCCTTTTTGATAGGCTAAGTCCCAGGAAGGACAGACATTGTTCTTACCATTCCAACTCTCACTGAGGGTAGAAGAGAAACCGTCTGTAGTTCCAGGTTCCCAAATCCTTCATATATCTATATATGTATATGTATATATATATGTGTGTGTGTGTATATATGTATGTGTATATATGTATTTTTTACAGTCCAGAGGTCTTTTATTAACACCTATTATGCCATGAATTCATAGGGAATAGGTTCCAGCAGCTCAGGTTCCTTCCTATTGGTTCTCACAAAGTGTGCTGCTCTGGGTGGAGCAGGCTGGCGCTTCAGTTGAACCCAGGTAACTTTCTATTTTTTTCTGGAGACGGAGTCTTGCTCTGTCACCAGGCTGGAGTGCAGGGGCGTGATCTCAGCTTACTGCAACCTCTGCCTCCCAGGTTCAAGTGATTCTCCTGCCTCAGCCTTCCGAGTAGTTGGGACTACAGGCGCGTGCCACCATGCCCAGATAATTTTTGTATTTTTAGTAGACACAGGTTTTCACCATGTTGGCCAGGATGGTCTCCATCTCCTGACCTCATGATCCGCCTGCCTCAGCCTCCCAAAGTGTTGGGACTACAGGCGTGAGCCACCGTGCCCGGCGAACCCAGGTATCTTTCTCTTGGGCTTCTTTCTTCTGATCATTTTCCTTCACACGTTTCAGGAAGCTGTCTCGGCTCTTAGAGTGCTTAATGTGCTCAACACACACATTAATTCTCTTGGCAAGAATCTTGCCCTTGCTTGTTTACAATAGTGCGAACAGCATGCTGGTGAACATTGTAGACTCTTCCAGTTTTGCCATGGTAACACCTGTGGGGCATTCCTTTTTGAACAGTACCCATTCCTTTGATGTCTTCAATATCACCTTTCTTATAGATTCGCATATACATGGCCAAAGGAACAACTGCATGTTTTCTAAAAGTCCTAGAGAACATATATTGGGTGCCACTCCTCTTTCCCTTTGTGTTCGTCATTTTGGCGAATTACTGGAAGATGGGAGTTATATAGGTATATATATCAAATACTTGAAATAATTTTTGTTACAAAGAGCTAGTGTCATCAAATGCTAATTTGTAGAGCTGGCCAAAGAATGTATTGGACAAAAATTGGTTACTGAGCTGAATTTTATTTTACTGATACCATTTATCTTAAAATAACTCTTCTGATGTCCACTTAGAGTATCTCCAAACTGGTGTTAGAACCCAATCGTCAGTACTAGCAGAGCTTGAATTCCTTTCCATTGGGTCCCATGTTTTTGGCTTAGATATAGAAACTTCTAACTGGAGCTACAAAGTGAAAATATGAAGCTAAAATTCTAAAAAGCCCTACAGTCAACTTCTGTGCAACAATACGTCAAATAACCTAGTGTTTTCTATGTGGCTGACGAAAGGAACTGAAAGTGCTATTAGAACTGAGGACAATTATGGCTTTCTGCGTAGACATATCTCACCATGATTTTTAGAACAGAGTAAGGAAGGGAAATAAATCTAAAACAGAGTAAGAAAAGAATGTTATTCCCTCCCTCAAAATAAAGTGTGAATGGAGGGCATGGAGTATTTTTAGTTTTAGTTAATGCTAGAACAGAATACCATAGACTGGTTTATCAACAATAGAAATTTATTTCTCATAATTCTGGAGGCTGGGAAGTCCAAGATCAAGGTGCTTACAGATGTGTTTTCTGGTGAGGACCCACTTCCTCATTTGTAGATGGCTGTCTTCTCCATTTCACGTGGCAGAAGGGGTGATGGAGCTCTCTGGGTCTCTTTTTATAAGGGCACTAATCCCATTCATGAGGGCTCTTACTCTCCTGACCTATCACTTCCCAAAGGCCTCACCTCCAAATACTATCACATTGGAAATAAGATTTCAACATTAGAATTTTGGGGGCACACACAACATTCAGTCTACTGAAGACATTAAATAAGAATCTAGGGTAAATTCTAAGAAAGAATACATTTGAGTTACAGAGTGAAACATAAGACTTTAAGAAAGAAGGAACAGTGAAAATATTCTCTTTAGGATGAAAATGATAATATTTATGTACTGAA